TTTAAGACCCAGCCTGGGGGTAAGGATGTGGTCGACCCACCACAAATGTTCAACAACCACCCGGTAAACTGCAAATGTCAGAAGTTCGTTGTCAAATAGATTCAAATAATATGCTGTCACATGTCAATACTGCCTTTTGTTTGCCTTGAATACTTCGCCCAAAAATAGTGGTCTCCAAAAGGCATGGTTTGGGTAGGGAAAGTTGCCACTTCAAAGCCATGACTTAGCTGGAAAAGCACTTGAACAACGTTTTGACACGTAAATGATTGACAGGATGTGACAGGCTTTTACATATGGACTTAGCTGGATTAAGTACATGTTTTACACGTAAACAAGTTGTTCAACCTACCGGACTTTGCCCCCAGAGCATCCAGGAATTTCATCGACGAACATGAAAGAGGATCGATTTTGCTCTACAAGCGGAAAAGTGGATATCTTGGATACATTTGTGGGAGTGCTTCTTTCCCCATGATTTCCCACTAAAATCCAGCAGATGGAAAAAGGTGAACCATCGCGTTAACCTCTACTTTTCCGGGAAACTGAGAGGGCCAGAGTGAGTGGGAGATTGCTAATATTTTATTAATTTCTATAGAACATTACGGTTTTTGATTCGGCCCGGCACGCGCCGAATTGTTCAAGGAGAAACTTGAAAGACATTTCCGCACACTTTTGTGCTTAGTAGATCTTAGTAGTACTTTGGAAACCAGTGTTTCCGATGTTCTTTGCCGGCCTTCTATGGGGCTCCCATAGCAAATCCCATGTACAAAGGCTTCATTGGGGTCCGGCGACCAGCGGCGACCGGTGGCTCCCACTCATTTCATCAGACCCGACAGTCCTTGTTTTGCATTCGTTCTTTTTTTAAAGGTGTCCAAGCCACTGAATGTCGCTTAGGAATGCCTACGCGGGGCATCCAGGGCATCCGGGGCCGCCGTTTGTTTCTACAAGGCTGGTGTTGTGTTGAGAGGTCGCGGGTGCGAATGGATGCGCCGGCGAGAAGAGCAGAATTCTGCTGAGGCATTGCGTTGTATGATGTTGTTTGTATGTGAAAGAAGTCACCACTCTTTCTAATACATGTTTTTCATTGTTTTTCACAAAACAGTATCGATATAACATAATATAATACAGTAAATTTTGTGTGTTTGTTTTTGAAGAGATTTCTTGAAGGAGCACACGGTGATTCATAGCGCCAAAACCACGGTTGCATAAGGTGCTGATGCGACACCCTAGCGATACGCATAAGGTGCTGATGGATCAAGCCATTTTGTCCGAAGGAGGCAACGATGGGATCCATCGGGACCGGCTTGGTGATTCCAGTGGAACTTTCATGCCATTTCTGGTGTTTCTGGCAGTAAAGATTCATGCAGCATCTTGAATAATACAACCCTCCCCATTTGGATTGTAACAACCTCTTCATATGGGAGGTTTGATTAAAAACAACAAGATTCTACATTATATAAGAAGAACAAAATCTTCAGATCTGCATTTGCTTTGCCAGGTAGTTGGAACAAACGCTTCTGAGCACCGCAACAGTGCCCTTCCCCTTGTTTTTTTTTGGTGGCCGCAACAGTGGGGAATCAACCACTCAGCGGTACATCGTATCATAGGTTCCAAGCAAAGATCCCTGCAACGGGAATTGGATTTCGAGGTTGGAGTTCAAACACACCATGACGTTCTGAATTGACTTTAAAACACACGTTCTGGTGGCGTCTGATTTGGCGAACTTGTCACGCAGAGGGCGACGCGAAAGTGATCATTTTCACGTTCGCATAATTCATGCAGCATGCGTATTTCCTGGCAGCTCGCATGACCTGGTAATGCCGAAGGCAGGGGGCCCCGAGAGGCTCGACGTTGTTTCCAATGGAATTCGTTCTGATCTCTTCGAAAGAAGTTCCCACAGAACAGCCCTTTCTTGTCCTCGTTCGCACCCGACTCTACGGACAGGTCTCCGTCGGACCCTGAAAATCGAAACGAAGTCCGTCGTTTTCGCACCCGTTTTCGCCTCTGTTTTCGCCTGCTGCCCGTTGCATGAAATTGAGCTGCTTAGCGGATCACGGGACACGGGCAAACGGTGAGTGAAGCCTTTTCACCGAACGGTGGGAACCGCAGATCCTTGGAACTCGCCTTTCTTTCTCCTGACCTCATCACATGAATTGGAGGTCTCCATTTGTCCATCTAGTCTATAATATAGCTTTCTTTGTCCATTTTTTGGGGGATGGTGATGAGTGATGAGAAATGCATGGAGTGGCGCTCCAAGCCGTCCAAGTTTAGAAGACCTACGCAACCCGCCAAGCTCCGCAGACGGAGCTCGGCTCCGAGCGGATGGGTCAACTCTTTCCTTAGGCAAGACTGAGCGGCTTGGCATTGTCATGTGCTACTTTGCAGATCTTTGCAGGTGTCAATCGCATGAACAGGTTTGATGTAGAATACCGGCATGCCAAATCCAATCAAATCTATATACTAGTAGCTGTTCAAGGTTCCTGAATCCAAACTGTTACACACATTTTGCATTGCACGTCAGTCAGTTTGCTCATGCCCTGTTCGCGCAAACTGGCCCGCCCAGCGAGCCCAAAAAAGATCGACGGGGTGGACGGTGCTGCAGGTGTGGGCGATGCACCCGAAAGACCGGTGAAGACCGAGACAAAAAGGAACAAAAGACAGGAAAAGACCATATTTTGGCTCCAAAACCAGGGGTTCATCAGGTTCTAGGTATATATACCTGCAACCTCGTGGTTGCTTTTTTTAGGTGGTTCAACATACCTTTATTTAGGTCTGTGAACTACATAAACATCCGCGCCCTTAGCTTGTGTATTAACGCCCGTGGAAAATCATAAAAAAAATGAGAAAACTAGAGAAACATCCGCAGACTCAAATATAAGGCTGTGACTCCAGCCAAGAGATGTTTTTCACGCCGCAGATCGAAAAAAGCACTCTGAGGAAGTTCCAGGTATTATATACCCAATAGACTACCCTAGTGTCGACGGGTATTATATACTAAGGAACTATCATTATACCAGGATCATCCTGTTTGGGTATCCAATAGACTACCCTACCCTACGTAAACAGGTCTCCAGACCGGGCACCCGTTGGGCCCGTGAGTATTTTGGAGATGGAAAGGCCTGCAACCGAACCATCATCCCAGTTTTCCGGTGAAAAACACCCAAGTTCGACACATGGTTCGACACATGGATGCATTATGATGCATGGGTTTCGGAAGGTCGAAGGTTCCCGAACGCCCGACGTTCTCGTGCCTCCCTTCTCGACCGAGTTCTCTTTCATAGTCGACCTCAAGGTCGGGTTCACCGCTGACATTCGTTCGCCGCTTCTATGATAGATGTTGGGTCCAGCTTCTGCACATCTCCGTGCTCTGTTCTTTTTTTCAGGATCTCGGATCAGCGTTTGTGCGCACGCATGCGCACCCCTGCGCGCCAGGGCGTGATTCTTGGACGTAGAAAGAGGGCAAAGAAACTGCACGATGCCATGGGTGTAGGACCCGCGGGAGTTTGGTGGTACATGTGACAAATGGACACCCCCAATCACCTCTAAGAGGCTATATAAAAAATAGACACCCCTTTGGGGGTCCCTGGAAAAGGATGTGGTTTCCTCTACAAACCTCGGGGGCTGTCCACCTCCAGTGAATTGGATGGTCCTTGCAGCGGAGCGCTGCAGCGAAACGTCCTGGTCCTAAGGGACCCAAAAAGGAATCGTCCTGGTCTGTGACGGGAATGTGCGTTTGTGCCTGCTTAGTTCCAAGTCGACCAAGTTCCCTTTGTTTGGGGATCTGGGAATATTTATAGCTGGTATAGTTTGGTTGGGTACGTGCAGCAATACTGCCCGCGCCCGCGCCCGCGCCCTGTGGTCCAAGCGCCCCAAGACGGTAAAGCGTGTGGGGGAAAACGAGACGGTCGGCGTGGCGAGGCGAGCGTTGGGGAGGGGTGGTGTCAGACGGAGATGCCCCAAAAGGGCTGCTTCAATGGTCACGTTTTGTTTGTTGCGCAACAAGTCTTTTCCCCGGAGTTGATGGTCACAGCTTTGACACCCTGAACATCCCTGAACCAATGATTTCCCTTGAAGCAAAGAAACGCGGGGTTCACCGCGTGGTATAGCAGGAACAGGCAGCCACGGCCGCCACGGCACCACTCCAAAGTCCCACGCCGCGCGCCACGCGCAACGACGGAGAATCCTGGTTGCTGACCCTGCGCTGTTTTTGCGGCGCCTGATCGTCCGAGTCTCCCAGTGGGGTCACATGGAGGTGAAGGATGGGGTGTCTATAAATCAGCGGTCTTTTGGGATGCCCAAAAGCCACTTGTGTTGGAAGATCCTGCTTTCGATATTTTTCATTACACCCTGGAAGACTAACATGGAACCTAAAAACCGTTGGTAGAGGAACATCGTCTTCGGGACCAGGACGTCAGGGTCTGGTTTTCAGGAGTGTATGTTTTTCATCTTTCAGCACCCAGAAGTTGGCAAAAAAAGACACACCAAATCCCTCACAGACCCCGGTTTTCGTCTTGGTTGGTCGTGTTTGATCGGGTTTTGATCGGGTCGCATGGTGACCCAGAGACATTGCGTGGGGTTTGTGCCCCCATCATGCTCATATATGCTCATGAGGGTTAGTTTTTCCTCATTCAATGTACAAGTGATTACAAGTGTTTCACGAAGCAAAAAAGTGAACCCCCTCAACACATCGTGCATATTGAACACCGGTCTATTGGAGCCTATTGGAGACTTGATTTCTTTCAATTCCCTCAGTTTGCTCATTTTTGCCACCTCCGACCTCCTCAGTGTGGGATTCCGGGTCTTGGTCCAAGAATCAGATGCAGCACGTACCGCAAGCAAAAAAAACAAACATGTTCATCAATCTTCCGAGAAACATGCTGATACATGCTGATACGGGTTTGGACTGCTACAACCATCCAATACCACTTGTCTATTGAAAGATCATACCATGTGCCATGTGCCTTGGAATCTCCTTCACTCTTTCCAAGATCCCTCAGCTCCCGATGGCTTTCTTGGCACTGCTCTTCATCGGAACCGCTTCCACTGCGGTCGCCGATTCCCTGGTGGCCTATGACTTCGCCGGCCGCGGCAGCGCGGACGCCGTGGCCGGGCTGCTGGCACGCGTGCTGCAGCAGTCGGAGGCGGCGACAACGGGGACGCGTCGGGCCGAAACGGGGACGTGTAGAGCAAAATCCGGTGGATGAAGAGACTCGATCTGTCGAACAGGTGGTTTGTTCATGGTTTTTCCATGGTTTTCCAGGTTTTGTTCTTCATGATTTCATCGTGACCAGCACACACTAGGCTGAGATTTGGTCCTCCTTCGACCTGCAGCTGGCACCCCGCTGCCGTAGGGCCAAGCCGCCCACAGCCAAAACGGAGCTTTGCTTCGACCTGGAGTCGGCAGGCGGAAAGGTCAAGGCGGGAAGACAAACCACATTTGAACCGCTTAGGTGAGTCGAATTGGATCCTGAAAATGGGTCCCGAAATGTCCCGAAAATGGACCCCCTTAGCATCCCTTAACTTTGATCCTTTGGTTCCCTGACCTTTCTTTATAGAGTTGGAATCGTTTTCCTGTCCTTCTTTGAGCGACTTTGCGAGGTCTCCGCAACGAGCGGCATCGACTTGGCCTACGGTGCGGCCTGGTATTTGCGGAGCTACTGCAACATGTCCTTCTCCTGGAACCGCACCGGTGGGCACCAGGCGCGCAGGATGAGAGCCGAGGGGACGTGGGGTCGCGAACGCAGGACGTTGATTCATAGGACTCATGATGTTAGGGTGTGGGAATAATGTGTGGTGAACACTTTAATTTGTGTTTTAATCTTTTGACTATGCCCTCCCATTTTACATATTTTACATAATACATATTTAGAATTGGGATGTGGACGAGTCGTGGTGAGGGTCGAAGCTGCTTCGCATGTTCCATGACTTGGCGACTGACCTGAAATCAATGCAGGGAATTTGAACATCCTGGTAACATCCTACTTTAAGTCAGTTTGGGGATTGGTTTCTCAACTTAAACGGTTAACCTTTATGTTCCATCCAAACTGAGGGATTCAACCATAGGATGCAGTGGACAAAAGCAAGAAAAAGCATCGGATTGGGCCCATTATGAGGATAGGTGTTCTCTCCCCCAACAGTGGTCCGGGTCTCACTGAAATCTTTGAGGTAGGGCTCAAGGGTGGTTGTCAGTGGAAGCTGGGATATGAAGGGATATTATTGTGAAAGCCTTTAAAGCCTCTATATAATAGATAGTACTAGTTACAGACAGGAGTCGTTAGCCGCCCCGAAAGAAAGACAGATAGTACTAGTACTTGTATGTTAGAATGTGTATCTCATGGTTTGGTTTTGAGCTTTCAATCAAGACTTCTTTTTATCAACGGGACTTTGTAAAGTAAAGCCAATCCTAAACCAATGGTCATTCCTCGCCATTTCTTTCTCCACTCCTTAGAGAAAGGAACAGCTGATTGGCAGATTCTGACTGTGTTGATGATAACTGACCCATAGTCACTCCATAAAATACACAATATATAAAATCATAATATGTATCCTGAACCTGGATCACGGATTCCCCTAGGTTCAAAGTTCAAAGACTTCTTTGCCACTGACTTTGGGGAATCCCGCACAGAAAAGGACACGAAGCACACTCAGGTGATGGTTCCTTCCCAGTGGCCCTCGGTGACAGAGCCAATCACACGCTACCGGACTGTGCCTATCAGCTACTTCAACAATGTGGTGACCTTCAGCTACAGCTACGCCTGGTATCCTCGGCCCAAGACGATGGATGAAGTTGATGTTGTCACTGTTCTGAGATTCTGGCAAGTTGAAGGACCTGACCTGCACGGAAGACTCTTGAAGAAATAGATAGAATTAGGCTTTGTCTTGGTCACACGGCAAATCCTAGCTCAAGAAGGCGAGTGCGTTCAGGAACTTGGATACGTGGTGGGCATACCCAGGGCCAAGGGCCTCGGAAAACAGCCATATACGAGTACTCGTACCAGCAAGAATGACAGAATAGAACATACTAGTATATCAATATGGGTGCGAGCATGGTGTATTTTGAAACCATGGAGGTCCCCACACCGTGTGAACACACACACACACACACACCTCCAGACAATGTGGATATATTCACCAACGAAAAGGGTTGTAAGTTCAGCCCATGACGCTGAAGTTAATCCTCAGTTTATGTAGATGTTGAGCTGATTTGTGTATATTCATGTCGTTTCTCGCAAACTCTGTGAGCTCTTCCTGCCAATGTCGTCTCTCTTCGTTTGTTTCTTCAGGTATGACTTTGAGCAATGGGAGGCTTGGTTGGACTGGGCTGCCTTGAATGGCATCAACGTGGTGTTGGCCTATACCGGGCAGGAGGAGACGGGTCTGACCTCTTGTGCTTTCTCCACATGCCAGACATGGGTCTGGCGGTTGATCTCCCCAAGGGGGAGGGGAATGTTCGGTGAAGCTGTGAGGTGACGTGAGGATAAGACCTGCCGATCTAGATGCGAAAACAGAAAGCTTGTGGTTTCCTAGGTTTGGCCCAACATATGCGTGGAACATATACAGTTTGAGTGTTGCTTTCGTTTTGTGTGTCACCATGGGGAATCAGTGAGGGTGTCTCGCTTGTTGTTCATTTGGCTTGAGCCACCCATCGGTTATGCCTACGTGGGCTTCCAACATGTTCTGGTGGGAAGGCCCACTTACATGGCCTTTTTGTTTGCACGACAAAAGAAAGAGAGAGAGGGAGAGTGCACTTGTTGGCTTCCAATGCGCAGGTGATGAAGGATATTCATGATTACATATATTATGTTATATATATATCTATTTAACGATTAAAACGCAGCAGGTACGATAATATGGATTATTGGTCTTTGGACCTTTGGAGTCTAGCAGTGCTAGACGTTCTTCTGGGGAAAGCGAGATGGGTAGAATGATACCTCCAAGATCATGAATCAGCCAAGACTCGTTAATCCATATATATATAATATAGTGTTTCACACTAGACTCTATTCATTCGCTTATACCTACTCGTTTTGGCTCAAGGCAAAACAGGTGCAACTTAGTGGTACTAGTCGGCCGTTTACCTGTAACGACAGGTTATCATGCTTTAGTTAGCCTAGCTACGTCCACTGTAGGTTGTGCACGACCTAGTAGCTATAGCGGATGGTGACGCTGGTTCGCTTGACGAGCGATCGCGTTCGGGCTACATTCCGACTTCCCCTGCAATGTCGGAGTCGCATAGTGAAGAGATTCCTGTGTTGCCGCTGGAATTGCGTAGGCCGCCGTTGCCTCCCTTTTCGCCCGCACAGGGGAACATGGAGCTCTTTGGTCCTTCACCTTTTAGCTATGATCCATCACCAAACATTGCAGTTCAGAATGTTGATGCAAGACAGATTCATCAGCAAGCACTGTTTGTCAACCAAGACAAGTCTGCAGAAGTAATGGAGATTGCTGAGTTGAAGCGTTGGGCCTTGATGGCAGAACAGGGTCGACAATTCGCAAGCGAAGCCATGCAGTTTCGAGACACTGTAGCCAATGAAGCGAAAACTTTTGTTGCGGAGTCCTCAGAACACCAAGCAGCGATCACCCAACAGGGATTGAACGACATGAGCAACGTTCACAATGCGAGACAGGCGCTTGAGAGACAGTCCTATCTCGATCAGATGGCCCTTGCCAGGCAAAGAGAGGATGCGCTCCGGTCTGAGCTTGCCACCGTGCAGCGGCCAGCGGGCCCACCAACAGATAGGAATCCCTACCTCAGCGGAGATAGCTTTGGACACAAAGCTACTTTTGGGCATGTATAAGGATCAGATTGCCTTCTGTCCCGTAAAGGCTTTCCTAACTTTTGTGAAGCACTCAGACACGCACCAAGAATAATAGACAATCCATGGCCGTGTTTGGCAATCTCCACGACGATGAAGAAGGAAGGGACCAAAAATGGACCGAAAGAAGGCACGAGCTCCTGTCAGGGTCTCCCAACTACTTCAACACCCGCTTCCGGGCCTTCCTGGCCATCTTTGTTCCAGTGCAAAGCAATTCCCCGCAACATTCTAAAATATTGCGGATGATGTTGCCTCTTGTTTCGGGGAGAGACAGCCTCCATTTCGTGGAGGAGATATACCGGAAGACCTTTAACAGCTTCGGCGTCACGGATGACCAATTTGCTGCCTGGAGCAACGGTGTGGCGTGGCTTGCTTGGAGCCGAGGGCAATCTATGCATGGCATTGGGAACGACTGTGGAGATGCCTGGAAGAACACTAAGGAGGTGTTTACTGTCGTCCTGTTATGCACAGCAGATCCCAGAATAAATTGTTGTTCCTTTTGTTTTGGAGTTTTCCTGTGGGGGCAATCAAAGAGGCTGGATTTTGTTTAATGTTTTAAAGTTCGTATCCAAGGATGCCTGCATGCCACTGCCCTTGTCGTGGATGAGGAACCTCGTCATCTCAGTGGACATACTTGAAAAACACAACGTATTCAAAAATACTATAAATATAGTACTCTAGGGCTCGGTAGTTTTACAACATCAGTCAGGAAATTCGTTTGGTGCGAAAAAATTGACCACAGGGGTCCAAAAAGGTTGATGTCATTGTGTTGATGATTTGCCTGCTGACCCTTTGCAGCTGTAATGATGAAGATTGCCATTTGTCGCTTCTTTTGTGGGTTAAGTAGACAGGGACAGGTGGTTGGCGCTGTGTTCACCATCCAGTGGAATGACCACCACAAGGTATCCCACGAATTTTCTTGGTTGGAACATCACAGACTACAAAGATCCAAGGCTGGGTAGGTGTTTATACAGTAACTGTCCATGGCTGGGCCCTCAAGTCGAAGCTTGGTGACGGATGTTCCACTCAAAAACATCCGGCGACCCATGATCTCCATGATGAAACGTCACGTGCCTCATGTCTCCATGGTGGCTTTCTGCCATCCTTCCACTGACCAAACAACTTTCCTGGACTCCGAAGACCACGCCTTCGACGCCGACCCGACTAAGCCGGCGAAAAACGTCCAGTGTCCGAACACGTCGTCCGAAAACGTCGTCGGTGCAGTGACGTGCGGGCCGATGAGTTGTGAGGAGCCAATGGCAGCTTCAGAAGCAGATCTTGGAGCGCAGCAGGACAGGTTGGGGAAGATTGGGCTTGGTTCCTCAACCAGACCTTGCAGCCTTCTGGGGAGAGGTAATACCAGGATACTAGCAAAGCGGTCTCTTTGAGGATCCGGGTCCTGTCTTTCCAACTAATCGGTATAGGGGCAACAAATCTAGTGATGGAGAGATATGGAGAGAAGGGACAGCAGACAGATAAATTTTTCCAACTACTGTAGTGATATAGACATATATAGACATAGCAGTGTCGCGGTGTTGAGTTGCTCAAGAGTGTTCGTCTTTTCTTCTTTTAAATTTCCCACAGAGGGTCTATTCCAATGTTCCTCAGATATCCCCATGATCTTCGACCTGGCATGAACCCCCAACAAAAATCACCCCGATGGCAGGAGTTTGGGCATGGTCAGTGTGCTGCCGACCTTCCAAGGGCGCCTGGACGCATCGTCCAGTCGGGTCGTGGCCGATGCGTCCGGTCGTGGTGTCAACACCCGAAAAAAGGACCGTCGATCCAAGCAAGAAGGAACACAGGCGGCCCTTGGGTGATGCATTCCACTTTCATTGTGGAGTGACGACTAGTGTTCAACCATCTGCTGTCTAGGGTGGACACAGACGTAAGAGTGACTTAGGATATTTTGGCATCAGGTATTATCTACGTATATATAGCTATATATATATACGTAAATCATAGGATCGAGTGAGTTTGAGATCAGTATATACCCTCTCCAGAATCTCCAGAATGTATTTTTTTGGAGCTGTGCAATGTGCAAGTTGTACATAGAGTAGCAAGTTCCTTTTCGCTTACGAAATCATGTGGTTGAAAGAAAGCCACTTGACACACAAAAACATCCCAAGATGTCAGGTTCTTTTGCTGAAAATGTACTTCTTGGTACCGCCTTCGCATGCGATCGCCTTTGGTCTTCCGGCAACTGCACCGAGCTCCGAGGAACCTGCCACCGGTCTTCCGGCAACTGCAGCCACGGGCGAACATCAGCAAGACGGGACCCGCTTGGTTGGATGCCTTGGATCCGCTGTTTGCTGAAATCCAGAGACTCAGAAGGAGGGTGACAGGGAGACCTTCGGGAGAACAAAAGACCGGTTCCTACGAGGTTCTGATGTGACCTTAGATGATCATGAAGTTGAAGGCGTCGACCTATAGAATCAACTTGACACAAAAACAACACAAACAAACCTGCAAAGACTGCAAAGACCAGCAGATCGCATTACATTGATCCATTCATTTTGTTTTCCTTTTTTCATGTGACCCACAGCTCCAGCTGATCCAGCCCAGCTGATCCGTGGCAGCTCCCCTTCTGGGCACCCAGCTGATGGAGGAAGGGAGGGCTTTGAAAAAAGGATCCTGGAATTTGGGTGAAATCAAGCCCAGCAAATTGCAGGATCTGCTGAACTTTGCCAAAAGAATCCAAACCCAGGGGCAGCAAGCAAGAATGCCGTGATGCTATAATAGAAAGTGTCAGCGGCACGACTGATGGAGAAACATTTGATTCAACCATATTCAACCCCAGGTTCAGAAGAAGAGGGCTCTGGAGGTAAAACAGGGTAAAGGTGGTGCAAGATGGTTGAGGGTAGAGACTTGTAGAGACGGCTTCGAAGGTGAAGGTTTTGCACCGTGGATCGGTGTCGAGCCGTATCTTCTGGCCTGTTGGCTCTACAGGCCCCCCAAACATTTTGAAGGTCATGTGTTGAATCTCCTTGGGACTCACCGACGAATTGAGGGCATCCATGTCTTGAGCGCCTCCAATTCGACAAGTCTCAATTTGCAGCTGGATTCAACTAAGGAAGAGATACATGGAGACCATGATTGGTGATTGGGGCACAGATCCTTAGAGAAGTTCATGGTGCATCCTAGCCGTGGTTCCACTCACTTGAGCGAGAACTAGGTTCCACTCACCTGAACTTCCCAGAACCAAACCATGAAGTCTTGCCATTGGCGCATCCTTGCTAGTTGGAGTCTTGCATAGTCTTGCTAGTCCAAAACAACAGGATGGAAACCCATGAGCAGACCGTGTCTCAAAATGATGGCTTTTGCAACTGAGGTTGGTACTCGGGAAGTTGAAGCGGTTGGAGATGGTTGGAGTAATATATCATGATATATATATATATATGTTTTTCTTTATAATATGTATATGTACAATATACTGTATCTCTATAGTATATGATTATTTATTATATATTTGCAGTTTTATACTACATATATATCTATTTATGTCCAGATTCACGCTTCCCCTATCCACCGGTTTTATCCACTAGGCTTTTGGTTGGTGCCCATGTTGTAAGTTGAGTGCCCACCGGAACTTCCCAAAAGTGCACCGGGGGGGACCCAAAGATCCACTGCAAGAGGCTGCGATATTAACTTGGATCCACTGTGTGATCCGTGATCCTTGGGTTCATAAATCTGTATAAGGAACTTGTTTCCGCTGCATGTTCCCGAGTAGGAAGTTTCAGGCTGCGTTGATTTTGAGACTCGAAGGCTTTGGTTAGTTACTATGACTGAGATCCAAGGCGAGAAAGATAGCACCATCAAACCGGTTGCTTGTTTGGAAACAGACTGCACCAGCCACCTGCCATGGTTTCACTGGTCGACCCACCTGCCGACCACCGGTGGGCCATCCAAAGGTTTGGGCGACGGGTTTCCGGCGAAGGCAAATGCAAAGCAAGGTCCAAAGCCGTGTGCAAGGGATCTGAGGTTTGTTTGGCCATTTGATATCAACCGCATGACATAAACAAAAATTGACTAATCCAATTGTTGGTGAGATGGCTAAACCAAAGCAAACCACAAAATTCAACCCTACCCCTCCAGCCGAGGATCACTGGTATGAAACCGATGGATATTTCGATCAGCAGCAGGGCCCCTGGAAGGCCCAAGCTTTGACCACTGAAGCTTCAGCCTGGAGGAGTCCAGAGGATGTGCCTGTCGATCCACACGCCTTCGCGCATGCGGCCGCGGCTTATAAATCCATGAACGCCACTTGTCATGCGAACGCGGAATGTTCATTATTTTTGGTTTTACAGTATAATAAGACAGTATACAGTATATGACTTCAAAGCAAATCCTTAATTGTATTCCAGGTCCAATATGTATATAGTATATGTATATACAAGTATGTGAATAGAGATGAGGTCCCAGTATAATGGCTACATTGACACTTGCCATAAACATTTTGGCTCAAGTGCCCAACCAGGCGAAAAGGAGCTTTTGCGCGCGAGCTTCATGTCGAACTAAGGGCTTGAACGGGGCCAGGGCACGCTTTCCATCCGTTCGCAAAGTATAACAGGTAACAACAATGGAAAGACTCTTGTTACACCCGGGAAGATCAACATGGAACCTGAACATGGACCTTTGGAAGATGATTTTCCTCTACAACCCAGTGGTTCTCAGGTTCCATGTTAATCTTCCAGGGCGTAATCTAGGTGATCTAAGATGCGTTTACTTTTTTTTGCGCTGACAACATCTCCAGGCCACTGATCCCAAAGCAGTATGGCTGTGTCAAGGGTGGATCTGGCGTGGTTGGGGGGCAGACAAGCTTCCCTTCATGAAGGGTTTTGTGTCTGCAGTGCCTCCGAAGCACTTCGTGATGCTGGATATGTTTGATGAAGCCGACCCGGAATGGGACAAGTTCGAGGATTTTGGCTATTTTGGCACCCCGTTCCTGGATTCGGCACTCAGCAACGCTTTGGGGGGGGCTGAATGGGTGAGTCTGCTTGCACCCGTTTTTTGAGCAGGAAAGGAAAGACACGTCGCATCTAAGGTTCTTTTGCGTTTGTTTTTTTACAATGGAAAACAAGGTTCATTTGGTCTGTTCTGCACAATTTTGGCGGCAACACCGGCATGTGGGGCAGCCTGCCTACCTTGAACTCTGCTCCCTTTGCGGCCTTTAATCGAACAGCCAATGTGGCGGGTACAGGAGCTGCGCCTGAAGGTATTGATCAGAACCTGGACAGCAGGTTGAAGGTACAAATTTGTTCCTTCTTAGTGTGGCACTGGAATGTGCTTCACTATATATATATATATATTAATTATATATATACTACTTAGCATGATGTGTTGTTCCATGTTACATGCAATGCATGTATTGGTTCTTCAAGGCTTTGGGTTTTGGGGGGTCCTTCGCCGTACCCGGCAACAGCAAATAACTGGTCAGCCCTGCACCAAGTTAATCAGTAAAACCATTGTTTTCATGTTGTCAGGTCACCAATGCTCGTTTTCAATATGTTCAATGACATACAAGAATACCCTCCGACATGCTTGACACCGAAACGTTTCATTCGACCGTCCGAAGGTGTTGGACCCAGGATCTCCGGTCCGCCTGGAATCAGTTACATTGGCTTTATTGTAGATGGCACAAGTTGCCCCAAGGTCGGTGGTTTAGATGGATCCCCATCTGTCTAAGACATCTTGGGGTGCCAGTGCCATCTACTCTGAAACCACTGTAAGTAAAGGGGAATGTCGCATCGATCGCTCCTCTATCATGACTCATGACTATTGGGGGGGTGCTGGAGAAGAAGAAGCACCCCCATTTTCGACATCAAGACGAGACCAGGACGCCACTGCCATTGACTCCCAGAAATGTCCGGTGCCACCCAGTTCCCTTTGGGGAGGTTGGGCTCAAAACAGTTATTTCCCTCAAACCTTTCGTGATGCTTTCACCAAGCAGCAAGCACGGGGGTATGGCTTGGAGCGCGAGTTGTTGAGGAATCCCTTCTATTACAGTTTCCTGACCGATTTGTCCTGGCTGCAAGCACCAGTGAACTTGAGCTCCTGGAGACTTGGCGTTAGAACTCCGTCGCCCTTCTGGGAAGGCCCGGGCGGAATCTCGCCCACTGTTCTATCATGTTCTAACTAAATCCAACAATCAAGATCAAGTCTGACTTGATCATGTTCTCGCCCACTCTTCTATCATCAAAGATCAAGTCTGACGCCGTGCTCTGTTCGACCCCGGATCAGAACGTTGAAGGGTCGCCACAAGAACAACACATCAACCCTCATACGACGTCTCTGCGGTCGCTGGATCTGGAGATCAGAGGTACGACATCCGACAAGCAATGCTGAGATCACATGGCCATCCAAAACCCACAAAACCTGCATCACCGTGGGCTGACTAGGTCCCTAGGTTATATCCTTCGGAAACAAACAAGATATTGTCCATTCACAAAGGCCACAGAATGCACTTTGAGTTTTTTTTGGTCTCCAGCGTTTGCTCCATTGTTCCATTGCTTCCAGTGTTGAAAACGGGCCCCTGTTCATTTGACGGGCTTTTTTTGCATTTCTTTAGAGCTGGCTTCGGCCTCGAATTGGATCTGGCTCGGCGTGAAATGTTCCTTCCATGGGTTTTAAGGTTTGGAGGGACCTAGCAGCCTTTTGGATGACCGTTTGGGGGCAGGGCGTGATGTCTTTGCTTCATGTAACATATCCGTATTTAAATTAGTTGGTAGTAGGGGCAAAGTAGAAATACAAAATTTCCGATACCAATACCGTTGCCAATACCGACAGTTATAGGCATTTAATACCTTGCTGCAGTCGTAGAAAAGCTGCGTTGGGCAAAGTAGATGTCTACCGACACGGTCATGGCACGCTCGACCGCACGATAAATGTACGACACATGCGACACGTACGACACGTTGTTGTGAAGCTACTAGGAACAAGTGCCACGTTGTTGTTGTTGTTGCTGTTGCTGTTGCTGTTGCTGTTGTTGCTGCTGCTGCTGCTGTTGTTGTTGTTGTTGTTGTTGTTGTTTCAGTGGCATCCGATGAAGGCCGTGTTTCGCACCGATGACTGGAAGTCTGTACATCCGCAACGAGAAATCCTGTAGTTTGCATATGTATTCATATGTCTACAAGTACACAGTGTATATATATACATAATAAATACATACTGTAGTATATACTGTGGTTATTATATGTAATATGAATTGTCAACAAACTTGCATTACTCCCCGGTCCCCTGTGACATGTTTAAGCCTAGTTCAACACATCTCCTCCACCCAGCGTATCCCGGGACCTTTGTATGTGAAGGCAAATTGTAAGAAAGTGGTGGAACTGGGGATAGTTCCAATTACAGTATATACAGTGAGCTGGACTTGCTGGGCTGATGTGCAATCGACTTGTTTGGTTCCATCAAGTGTTATTTGCTCACAGAGCATGTGTCCCAACTTCTGCAATGTCAGTCGGGGCCACCTTTGCAAGGACAGATGCCTGGACTCTTCAGCGTTATGGCAGGAGTAGTCCAGCGGCGCAGAAGGCCTTTGGCCTTCTACTGCAGTCTGTCTATAGCAACGAAACCAACCAGCGAGCCATCCACTCCCTCGGTGGTTTTCAGGCGAGCGATCAAAGATCGACGGTTCGGTTGCTGGGATAGCTTGTTTCGGTTGCTGGCTGTGCTTGGTGTCACTTAACATCCCAACTTGTGGCGGGTCAAGCTCGCTGAAGGCCCCACCTCATAACCCCAGGGGACCCCGCTCGTGCCATCAGAGATGGCCAACGTTTTATTATAAACCCCTCCTGATCCCTCCTGTCTCTTGCCAGGATGTACACTGAGGCTTAGCTGAGTGTGGATGTGGACGGCTGTCCTGTGGAGCGTGAGTGAGTGAGGGATACATATATATATATATATGATTATTGTTCGGAGGTTCCCAGATGTTCCCAGCACCACTGCATGTCCTTGGTGGACGAGGATCCCCCTTTTCAATGAAGAACGCCCTTTTGAGACTTTTTGAGAAGGATATATATATATATAGATTGTGTACACTATACTGTATATTGATCCTTCATCGTGTTTCATATTTGTACTTGCAGGCGTTTGTAACTATTCGGCACGCCTTTTTTTTTACCAGTCTAGAAAGAGTTGACAGGAATCGACTGCAATCACGTCTCACGTCCCAGCATCAATTGCTTATTTCTCTTTGGTTTCATGACCAACCTCTATTCCACCAATTCTCTTAAGCTATCATCATGCTCGTCCTTTCCATTTACTTTTGCGCTCCGAACATGGCCGGACGACGGAAGCCCGCGCCCAGCAGCCAGGCGGAGAAGAATTCCGACGGCCTCACTGGTATGCCGCTGGGCGGCTCGTACGAGACTCCACACCCCAGCAGCTCGGAGAACCTCGTCGTTGGAGGATCCAAACGGGCTTGGCTTCTCCGGACTCCACAAACCCCAAACCCAAGCAGACAGACTGCCTGACCACTGACTGACTCAAGAAACTCATCGAAACCATATCCCCCGCATTTGCACCCCGGATGCATCAGTCACCCCTTCTTTCTCTCTTTTCAGGCTGGTATGACCTCTCGGTGGCCATCGACGCCTGGAAGGCTTTGATCGCGGCGGCCGAAGCCATGCCACGCATCCCCGAGACCCTGCGCTACGACCTGGTGAACCTCGGCCGTGAGGCCCTGTCTTCCCCGGAGTGGAGCGTGTTGCGGGAGAGGGGTGACTTTTTTTGGGTGACCATCGACGGCAACGGATCAAGAGCCTCAATCCTACAAGTACCAAGTCTATAGATATAATTTAGTTACAGTAGGTCATGTTAGAGGATGCCACGATTGCTTCCCTCTTTGTCATAACCTTTGAAGAAGCCTGCGGCAAGAGTGACCCTGATCTACAAACCCTTCCTGTAGTTAGCCAAAAGGCTTGGTCAAGCGTTGACTGTTTAGCTATAATTTATAACATAAAGGATGGATTAAGCCATATTATGTATTAAGAATACCCCTATGGTGTCCTATGTCTGGAGGTCGGAGCAGGTTATTAATTGGCCATATCAGGGAGGTCACCAAGACTGAATCACTAAATCTCTGCGTGAGGAAGGATCCCAAAGACTTAAACCGAAGGGTCCTGATGAGGAAGGATCCCAACGACTTAAATCATGAATCTCTTCACGAGGAAAGGTCCCAGCACGACTAAATCTCTCGTCAGCACAAATCCACCGTTGGTTGGGCAACGAGGGAATCACTGAATGAGCAATGCCAAAGGCATTAGCCAACAATGAGCCAGCATCAGCAAAATGGGGTGTTGGAATTGAGATGGGGAAGGGTTCTTAAGTGATATAGGATCATGGGAAGAGGGATTGGTGAAATTAAAGGGTTGAAGAAAGGCGTTCAAAATGGGCTAGACCCAAGGCGGACCAGACCAACTGGGCGGAACTATCAATCCATCCTTGACATTATGTATAGCATAAGGGCGAAGTCTTCCTAGTTCAAACTTCTACGATGTTCTGTTTTACTCTCAAGAACGCGGGTGGCGGTGGGCGGCGTAAGTTCATCCCGCAAAGGACTTGAGCTGATTGATTTCCCATGTTTGCAGAATTCCTTGCCCATCGGCTTCACAATGTTCAACTAAACTTGCAAGCTATAACACTGCAAGAAACATCACCTGCCAAAAGAGGTGCTAAGCAAGATATCCAACGAATTCTTCTCCAAGTTGGCGTCTGCGACCACGGCGGGTGCAGTCAAAGCAGCTGGATCGGAGATGTTGAACTTGCTCTTGGATGTGGATAGCGGCTCGGTGCTGGGCGAGAGAGAAGACGAGTGCCAGAATACTGTACTCGACTCATGCTCCAATTGTTTTGTCCTGTGAAGGTATATTCAAATTAGGGACAGCCAAGGCAGCCAAGGTCTTCCCATTTGGAGACCATCCGAGAAGATTCCTCAGATTCCAAAAACAGTTTGGCAGCCACAATCTTCGACATCCTTCGACCATCCATATGGTCAAAGGTAGTATGACTTGGAATAGACATCCTGCACCACATTTATTTGGGTGGAAGAACCTTCAGGTGAGTTGCCGGTTCCTGGTTCACGCCCTCATGGGACACCTGTTGCCGAGGACTCCTTTGTAGCTCGGGTGCTTTCCTGGCCTCCACATGGATTGCCAACAGCGTGCGCTGGGCTGATGGCAATGCCACGCTGGAGAGGTATTTCGAGATGGCTGCAAGGAGCCAGACCACGGTGCCTTGGAGATCCAGAAGAAATTGCGGCGGGAAGGTGGGCCGCAAGGGGCCCTTGGGGTCTGTGTTCTAGCTGGCCGCCAGGTCTGCAACGGATTGCAGCAGGTAGTTTGCACCGACTTTTAAACCCATCCCATGTCGCACCAAGCCCACGTCGACTGGTTGCAGGGAAGCTGGAGTTGAGGGGATTTCAACTGGTGGCTGAGGTCCAACGCGTCACGCGTGACTCCTTCACTGTTTGAGCGTTCCACAGCCGTTTGTTCGTTCGCTGTGGGAGGTGAGGTCTCCAATAGCTCTCAGTTGACTGGAGTCCGAAGAGAACGTGGTTTGGTGAGCTCCATGCGAACCCACAGGGTTGGTCCGAGCATCGGTGGAATCGGACTGTGAAGATCAGACTCAGGTCTGATCAGAAGTCCGCTGTTGGGGACTAGCTGACTAGCCCTTTCTCTGGCCTTACTAGGAGGAAGGACGCTACTAGGGGCTCCTGGCCTTACTACTAGGCGCAAGGACGCTACTAGGGGCTCCTGGCATCGCTACTAGGAGCATTCTTACTACTCGTTTTATGGCCATGGTCGACCCGCCATGTGACACACTTTTGGGGACTTCCCGGACTCGCCGAATCGACTGGATGTCGACCGACCGGTCCATGTCACAGGTGTGGACGCCACAAACTCCAGGCTCCACCACCTTAACCAGCCTTTGTGACTATGCCAACAAGCAGTGGGCTGGTCAGGCCGGGCGCCAGAAAAAGCATGGGACAAAACTTTTCTCTTCAGCACTTTGAAAGGTGAAGACTAGTCGTGAGTGACTTTGGGTGGTGACCGCTTCGCGGTGGAAAGAGAGAAGAATCTTGTGATGGCCAGCGTTGGAGGTCCGACTTTTCTTTTGCCCAAAGGAAACGGTTGTACTGGGATGTACTGGGTAAGCGGGGAGCTACAACCCAGGCAAAGTGTGGCGATGTGGTTTGGTGGAAAAGCTGGTTGTGTCGTGTTGTGTCTCAAGAATTTGGGAGACCCTTTGGAAAGCACCCCTTTTAGAGAGGAAAGAGAAGAAACATACACATCCAAAAACTTACATATTGAGCTTTGGAGGGTCTTCTTGCTCTAATTATTCAAAATATTGTAAACACAGCTAGAACTTCCTTGAGGTATCCTTCAGAGGCCCACTTATATACGTAGAGTACGCTTCTTTCAGGGAGGTGCCCCCAAACCTGGATGGCCCTAGATGGACAACATGAGGGCTTCACCAATGGATTGGCTTTCACCCTGTGGATGGTCCGCACGCTTTCGCCCGAGGCGGACGAGATTCGGACACCCGATGGCCCCCAAATGGCCAGGTGGGTGGCTTCTACCGATTGCGCTACGAATGCTACATCGTGCAGGCGCCACCATCGGCCTTGGCCCAGTTGGAGCTTCAGTTGTTTTGGCACGTCGAAACACAGAGGCTTTATGAGGCTTTTTTTTTAGAAGGGTCTGTTGATTTCGCCACGACGTTTGGATTGCTGAAAGCGATCCTTTACATCAATTGGAGCGGATGTAGCATGCACGTGGGTTGTGGTACTATCAATTGACATAAGATAACATAAGTGTGTGTGTGTGTGTTTCAAAACATGCTGGTACACTAGAAGCTGCACGCCTGTGTTTCCTATACCATCCTGCACCTAGCGCTAGGACGGAGTAAGCTGTGAGAGGGAAGACAACTGTTCCCTTCTCGTGTCCCTTCAGATGTTCTGCCATCTTACGTTTTTTTTTTTAGTAGAGTCTATGGACAATTAATCAAGTTCAAAGTCTGTCAAAGTATGTACTGTATATATATATATACACAAGGAGCTGAACAAAGTCAGGGAACGGCAGCAAAGCCCCATAATGTGCTTTGGAGAAACATTGGAGAACGATATGGACCCCACCAAAAAACGATAATCATGTCAAATGGTATTTGGCTGCACAAGTAATTTTGTCCGCTGCTCATATATACCTTGCACCTTGGTGGGAACGCGGTGGAACTACCATCATTGATTATGATGTGTGCACTTATAGCTACTTAAACCAACCTTGATGAATGTCCATCTGCCAGGCACTGGACGACTTCTCGCATGGTCGTGCACTGAACAAGACCCAGTGGCCTAGCCGCGTTGGATACAGGTGATAGACCCAACTGGAAGAAAAGCCCCAAGTGACAATGACTGTCACTGTACAGTAGTGACTGAGGAAGATGAAAGGGTCACAGGATAATGACCTGGAATGACCGAATCAATCCCCAGAACTGCAAGAAGAGGGTGTCGTGCAGGTCAAGAATAGTTCGGTTTATCATTCATGTTCATTGATTCAAGAACACCTTGCTGGTGGCAAATGAGCTAAAAGCAGCCAAAACAGAGCCCGCCTCATGTTTGGACTCAAAGACTGATACATGTCGGGGTTGCATGTCGAAATGGGTTTGCAGGTGCCCAGAATGCTTCACACTGTTCCTACAAGAACAGTGATCCAAAGCCTGCAAGGCTGGCCCAAGTCCCTAAGTCAGACACTCCATGCATGACATATTCATACATACATTGTGGTGGTTTCAGGGGTCAATTTAGGCATATATACGCATATTATTATATAGCATATATTATACATATGTCATTCCTGGAGTGTTTGGGTAAGTGGGCCTCTTTAGGACTGCCCTGGATTTCCCAGACTCGGCGCGATGGACAGGTCGCATCCCGCTCGGTCGCACGACGGAGGTTCGAGGCGTGCGTGGCAGCGGCAAGCTACGACTGGACACATGACCTTGGAGCGAAGAAGTATCCCATGTGCCTTCAACCCACTGGTTGCTCGGAGGATGCTGAAGGTGGATCTGTGCGAGGACAGGGTATGATGAGGGTGTAGAGCCACTGTGCAAAGATATGCAAGACGAACAGTTATGTCCGGAAGTTTCTGGCTCCAACGCCAAGGCATGACGAGGCCGGTTTGTTGCCCTTAAGAAATGCATTTGACTGGACATGGTTCCTATATGTTCCTATCCCATATCATCATATATGATCATATATGATATATGAACAAAAAATGGTGGGGGGCCATGATATGGTATCAGAAGTTTCTCGCCAGTATACTGTAAATTTTGCGGATGAAACCCACCCCGGCTCTCCCTCCTCAGTTGTGGATGATGATTCTGACAGGGTATCAAACCTCTATGATCATTGCGCTCTCAACACCAAGGTTGCGACACATGCCAAACGAGAGTTATCATCAAGGTTTGGCAGTTCTAGTTTTGTAAGGAAATGCAGAAATATACATTACCAATTTATGTATAAATAATGTTGCATCAATTTCTGTAATCAGCACACATCCATCATGTACGTGGATACAAAGGGTTGCCGTGTGTTGGGGGAAAGCCGTCAAGGGCAGAGTGCCGCCTAAAATAGCTCGAAGACTAAGGTGACACGTTGGCTGTGAGCAAGGAACTCTTTAAGAGATATGCCATCCGGGGAATTGAACTTCAAGTGTGAGAGGCGGATGCTGGATCTTCCCACCAAGCCCAAAACGGAAGCTTCAAGGAATGAAGAAGATGATTGAGCAGATGTTTGTGTCACTGTCCATTGGGGAAACCAATGGCTTTAGGCTGCCTTCTCGTTGACGGGGCAAGCAGGGATGATCCACATGGCCCGAAGGTTGGACTCGACAGAGGTGGGCCGCCGGAGAAAAGGTCCGGCGAGCGCAAGCAGCGCACGCAACCGCCAGACCCGATGAAACGTGGCCAACAGAGACACCAACGGAGCGACGGACCATCCGGACCATCTGCGGCGAGGAGGTGATCTCAGGACCCATCAGATGGACTGTTGGACTGAGAAGAAGAACTGGTCTGACTCGCTTGAGTGTCGTGTCCCGGTGTCCTTTGTTAGCAAGCCTTTCATGGACTTCTTGCCACAAAGAATACATGGAAGTCACTGGAAGTCTAAAAGAGGGTAAGAAATATCATGAATGATACCGCAAGCTGTGGTTATTTGGATTCCCGGCTTGAAATTGACAAAGTAGAGTCAGTTTATTAGTCATGTGCTGCAGATGATACAAGGGAATCAACACACTGTTTAATTTCTGTTTGGGCAACCCCTCCGAAGTTGGGCGAGAACACAAATGTTTGAATACCTGTTCATTGGGAGTCCACTGTGTATTTAGTCGCACGACAACATAAAATCCAGTATCGAACCACCAAAGTCAGAGGTAACTGGGATTTCTTCTTTAGAACACAAGAACATGCAAGAAAACCTGGGTAATTACCAGTACAGGCGAGCAGCGGAGCCCTGATATCAGACGCTGCCTCGGGTATGTATCAGACTAGGGCGAAGCAACCTGGGTGAGGGGGGGCTCACTGTTCCAATTACTACATAATACTACATATATCATATATTTGATCAACATATCAGCACCCACACAAGTCCGAAAAAAAGTCTTCATGCTTCTGCCATACCCGACAAATGGCCCTGTGGGCTTTTAGCGAAATAAGCTTCGACCATGAGCGAAGCGGGAAGGCCAACCTTGTAGTTGAACCCAAACTTTCTCATCCATGCCATCTATGAACAGATTGGAAAACATGATAAAACATGTGTATATATAAGATTAAACATGAGCAATGTTACAACAACATTGCCAAGTGGGCCAAATGGCAAAAGCTTCACGTGGAGCTTCGCTTGCTTTCCCGGAGGTGCCTTTCCTTACGCCCTCCAAGGCGAGAATCGCCTGGCCATGGCAGGTGGCATGTGGATTCCGTCGGCAAACGATCAAGTGGCGGCGTTTGGTTGAATTGGCAAGGGCAAACCCTGGTTTTTCCCACCGAACATGAACAGAATAGACGACAAGGGTTTTATCCCACAGCCAAGTCAATCATGGTTCACATCATTTCAGCATCCAGTGTTTTATGAGGAATAGGACAAAACCATGGTATTTGTTGATCAAGATTATATGATTATATATGGGTTCTATCGAGTTTGCTTTGGGCTCCAAGTACCCTCTCAGAAGGTGGAACAGGGAATGGAGCTTTGGTGGGTTTGGGTCATCCAGTGGTCCAATACTTTACCTTCTGGGGATATAATGTCCACCTGTGATTCATAAATAGCAGGGTCCCCCCCGAGAGATGGACTGTTTTATGCGACAAAGGGCTTTACTACAATCGGGAGGGCCATTTTTGTAGGGAAAGATTTGTCTTTCAAGTGTTTCGCAAGGTCAGAGGAAAGGAAGGAAAGCAGGTGGGAAAAAGGGAAGGAAGGAAGGAATGAAGGAAGGAAGCAGTGCCCAGTGTCCTGAGCACTGTGCTGTTGCAGGCTTGCAAAGCTGTGCTGGCCCTAGGATAACCTTTGAAGGAAATTCTATTGCCCTAGGCAAAGAAAAAGCATCAATCATATCAGCGCTTAGCTGCGTATGGTTGTTGCGGCACCCTTTGCCCTGAGTGGCAACATGGAGCTGGTGTGTTCCTTGTTTTCCCTCTCCATTTGCAAGCCATGAAGCCATGAGATGTCATCAGTCATGATTCTCCAGTGACCCGCAGCCCGGGCAAGTGACAACCGAGAACGGCGATTGCCAGCTCCTCCATTTGTGCTACTTGCCCCCGCTCACCCATGATCCTACAAAGTAGAAGTGAGTATATAGAACTGATCAACCAAAAACAAAACTCGAACAAAAGCACTTCACAAATTAAGTTCGCACCCCTTTAATAGTAACAATAACAACAACAGCAGCAGCAATGCATATTTTCTGAAACTGTTTTGTGATCCAGTGTCAAGAGAACATGTCAAGATCAGAGTTGGCCTGCAAACCAGCTTTTTGACTGGCACGCGGGCATGGCAAAGCAGACATGTCAGGACTAATTTACATACACAATGGCATATACATAATACACTGATTGGTTCAGCTTTGAGAATGATACGTTGCCTTTTAGCATCCCCAAACTTGTTTAAAGGTTCGGCGATTTAATCTTTGCTTTGCTTGAAGTCTGTGGGTCAAGTGTGCAGCGTTTTTCCAACATCTGGGGCCTTTTAGTCTGCTCCTCAAAGGTCGCTTTCATTAGATTGAGCCTGGCAGAAAGCAGAAGCCGTCACCCCTTGACAAGCCTTGACTGAGAAGCGCCTTTGCAAGACTTCGCGTTTTACGATTTTCTCCCAATCCTGGCGCGCGAGGCGGAGGTCAATCGCCCGATTATTTTGATACGCACGGTCCAATATTGGATTTTTTTCTTCTATATTAAGAAGGATTGAATCATCGCACGAGGGACATCGTGCCACGTACCCATTCATTCTGCTAGGAACCTGAACGTCGCCCCTTTCACGCCGCGCCATCCGCAGACCCGCCCTCTCTCTCTCACATTGATCTATTCCCTCTAGCGTGATCAGAAAAGGAAACGTCACATAGAACGCAACAGTCCAAGCAATGGTTTCCTCCTGAAATGACCTCAGCTTAGTATTGGTAGCGTTGGCCTTACTTTTGTAAACACGTTTTAGCTTTGTTTAGGGTACCCTTATTACTTTGTGGTTGCTTAACTTTATTCATCGATATTCATGGTCCAATCGTTCGGTTGGTTTAAAAAATTGGACAGTCCGTCATTCGGGCAATCTGCTTGTTTTGTCTTATAGGATAGCTGCATAGGATACAGTAGCTGTTTTGAGGTGTTGGTCACCCCTGGGATTGCAATTCAGATGTCTCTATCAATCCAATCCATCCTGACTGCCCCTGGCTTGTACGTGGGTCAATAATGTGTCTTAACGTGTGTTTTTGTTCGGGTGCGGGGACGTGGAGATTAGGCCCCGTGTAGGTCCATCAACACAGGGTCACCCCCGGGTTCCCCCCGGAAGCCGTGTGATACCGTTGATCCGTTCCATGGGAGACCTGAAGCTGAGAAGTGGGATGGCAGGAACAAACGCTTTCCCCAATCGCTTGTTGTTTTTTTAATTTGTCGGATCAGCGACTGAGGGTCCGGATCAGCGACCAGGATCAGCGACTGCTGTATCAGCGACCACTCAGGATCAGCGACTACTGGGTCAGCGACCACGGTTCCCGGATCAGCGACCAAGATTTATAGGATCAGCGACTGTCGGAGCGAGATCAGGGACCATGGATTAGCGATCATGTTTTCCGGATCAGCGAGATCAGCGACTCAGGGATTGTGACGTCGTATGATCGGTTGCTTTGTTATTTTATTTTCCTTAGCTAGACCTCTCTGGTTACCGATCCTGGCGACCGATCCGGTGTGGTTGGTTTGGTTTGTTTTCCTTGCCTTCGCCAGACCTCTCTGGTGACCGATCCAGTGTGGTTGGTTTGTTTCACCATGCGTGGGCAGCCTGGGTAGGAGCGTGCGGGTGACGTAGATATATAATGTGTTTGCTGGGCCGACACTGAAGTCCAGTATACAGATTGAGACTCTGACGACGGACGCTGGAAGCCCTTTTGGAAAAGTATATGTGTTATTCTCACATACTCTGATTGCAGCAGTGGAACTCTTGCTGAAGGAAGCTCCGGTCCTTTCGCATAGAATTTTTTGCGTCTTCACATCGACTCAGTGACGTGGGACAAAAACAGGCCAATGATTCGACAAGGATATATATATATATGTGCACATGCTCTTTACAAGTGGAAATGGAGATGAGAAAATGGAGCTTGAAGACAGAATCTTTGGGGCAGGTCACGGTGCCTACAAAGAAGCGCTCCTATGTGGTGAACTACCTTTGTGTTCGAAGCTCACGCGACGGGAGCGCAACTTGCAAGGTTGGCCTTACACAGCCAGGGTTGAAATGGAGACATGGAACATGTTTCCTGGGGTACATGCACTTCTGCCATCATATTTTGGAATGTGTTTCCTGGAGCAAGAAGGGAACTTGGTTCTGGGTGGAAGTTGTGAATCGCAATAACTATAGCAGAAAAAAGCGCTGCTGATCGCTGACAAGGTGTCTGTGCGGGTTTGGAGCGATGCTCGCCAGAGGCATAGCACAGTTATGTGGACTGTATATCAGAATGTTAGACTTCGTGTGTTGCTTCCTCGCTTTAGACATCATACCTTGGCATGCGAAATTAGACAATTTTGGCGCGCTTCTCCAAGCGGATGTTGCTGCCAGGACGGCAGCTATGATTGATATGGGCGGTCTGCGGCCGTGGAACAAAGCAAACAAAGGCGGAACGGCTTCAAAGGTCATGCAAAGACTCAATGGGTATACTCGCGCGCTCATTGCGGAAAATGAAAGCATGCTGCGGCAGAACGGATGGCTTACCTGCATGCGTGAACTGTGCAGCGCAATCGAAAAGGTGTTCGATTCCAGGATGATGAAGCAAGAAACATGGGAGTATCTTGTGGCAGTTAGCATTTGCTTTCCTCTTCTTATGTATATTCTTTTGGAATCTTTGGCATCCTGTTTAATTTCTACTGAGTTTGTGCTATCAGTTTTGTCATGTTTGTCTGGTTAGAATATCAGGTTTCCTGAGAACAAGCCTCTCTGGTGGTTGGAGCTCTTGGAGCGCCTACGGGCGATCAAAGTGGCGCATCAGGCTGTGCCAAAGCATCCGCCTTATCTAAGGCCGCCTTATCCATTTCTTTTTGCAGAGCAGAAGTTGCCAAGAACGTAACAGCTGCGGCTCAGGCTTCAACAGCTGCGGCTCCCATTTCCAAAGCCTCGGGCAGCTCACTGCCACCTGAACCACAGCAAGAGCAAGACTGCGAGAGACTCTTGGAACGGTCACCTTTGATTGTGTGCGAGCATTGTTGAAGAGACTGGCTGGAAAAGATCCACAAAATTTTCGCTGTTTGGGTAAATGTACCCCGTGCACTGACAAGGGACAGTGATGAGCACATCATTGGAAGTTGCAAATCTTTAGCAGCGCCGCTGGAAGTTTTGCGGCTGCAGATTGAATGACACGGGCGATCCGATGCCGGCAACATGGCTTGAAGGCACCTGTTGACAGGGAGTTGAATGATCCAGAGTCGGACATTCTGCGAATCGCTCAATGTTTACATCCTTCAGCGCGCATTACGAAAGTCTTTTGGGATAATGTTCTCAAGGGAGACGTGGCCGAAGCTTGCTCAGGAATTTGTCGGGTTGACTTTGTCAACATGGAATTTACAGGTGTGGCAGAGTCCAGTGATGCAGGCAAGTTTTGCGGCAGTGATGGACATGTTTCAGATCATGCCAGGACAGGTGGGCTTCCTCGCGAAAGCTGGAAGAGAAGATCAGCGACCAAACAGACAGCCGACAACAGCCGAAGAACGTTGGACAGCGGGCACAGACCGTTTCACGATGGCGGCCCATGAAAAGAGTCAACGAAGTGCTAAAAGACAGCCGCACACGTGCGCCCTCCCAACATCTTCAAAGTTGCAACAGAAGCTTGTCGCAACAAGTTTTTTTAACTTTCACCTATGTTGCTTTGCTGTGACAATTTGATCATGATCCTGCTTGCTCAGGACCTCTTACGCCTTGAGCAGGCGTTCAAGGCGTTCCGCCGAGATTGTCATCCAGCTCAGGTTGGGTAACCACTCCAGCTCAGGTTTGACCGAATTCATTTTGACGTGTTTTCACACACACACACATATTTTTCAACAACCCATTTCCTGAGTTTAGGATATTTTAAAAAGTCTGGACTCAGGGATTGTGACGTTGTATAATCCGGTATGGTTGCTTTTTTTCTTTTCCTTAGCTAGACCTCTCTGGTGACCGATCCTGCAACCGATCCGGCGTGGTTGGTTTGGTTTGTTTTGTTTTCCTTGCCATCGCTAGACCTCTCTGGTGACCGATCCTGGCGACCGATCCAGTATGGTTGGTTTGGTTTGTTTTTCTTTCCTTCGCTAGACCACTCTCTGGTGACCGATCCTGGCGACCGATCCGGTGTGGCTGGTTTGGTTTGTTTTTCTTTCCTTCGCTAGACCTCTCTGGTGACCGATCCTGGCGACCGATCCGGTGTGGTTGGTTTGTTTCGCCATGCGTGGGCAGCCTGGGTAGGAGCATGCGGGTGACGTAGATAATGCTTTTGTTGGGCAGACATTGAAGTCCGGCATACAGGTTTGCAAGCTTGTTAGTGGCGACCGATCCGGTATGGTCGGCTTCGTTTGTTTCACTTTCTTTCGCTATACCTCCGGTGACCGATCCTGGCGACCGAGGTACCGATCCGTTGAGCTTGGTCACCGATCTGTGTTTTCCAGTCACCCATCCGTGATTTTCGGTGACTGATCTGACGATTTGTGGTCACCGATCCGTGGCGACCGATCCGACCACCTTACCTGCAGATCCGACCCTCACCCATTTTTTTCCGTGGTTTCTTTCAGATTATCTGTGGTTATCTTCAGGGTGATGGTAAGGTGTGAGATTGGGAGTTGTGTTGCTAGAAATGCAGCTGCGCCCAATGTTCTCTTGTAGGTCGGCGCATGCCTTTGGCACCGGCTGCCTTACGTGGGCTGCGCGGGATTGTGATTGGGACAGGCCGGTTTGCTGGAGCCTCGTCATTAGGATGATGAAACAAATTTGAAGTTGAAGTCACCACAGTAACATTGCAGTCACCACATTGAAGTATGATGTTGCAATAATTTTTGGTGGGTGTGGTTGAAGCCAGCTAGAAGAGGTCTGCAAGGTCCAAGAAAGGCGTACTGTATAACCAAGGCCATAAGACTCGGCTCTTGTGAAACAAATTCAAGTTTCGCTCTTGTTTCGATCCCAGAATTGTTAATTCAGATTCAGACGCATGTTCCGAATGGGAAGTACAGGACGAATCTGACAAATGGTGTCGCGTTGAAGGCTTAAGAGACAGATGGAGAGGGCCAGCATGGTCCGAGTCTCCGTGTCAAGTTTGTTTCCTCTCCACTTGGGACCCACAACCGCATCAAACACCTTCTGCACAGTGCAAAGCACATGGGAACAGGAGTCAAGTGCCACAACCATTTAAGTAGCTGGATTCATCCACAGATCTTTCAGCTCTTAAAAACAAATATTCATATATATATATATATGTATAACACCTGGACCCCCAAGAGGTGGTTGATGGACACCCCTTGACCTCTAAGGGGCTATTAATGGACACTCTTTCCGTGGTCTGGTATATATATATATATAAATCTCACCTTCCCGGAAGTCACTGCCTGTCTTCCCTTTGCATTTTCGCTCATCTCCGTCCTGCGCAGGCAGCGCGAATTCCGGTGCACGGCGCCCCATCTGGGAGTTCTGGAACAATCGCTGGCTTCGGAGGCCGGTTCTGGAATATTCGGTGGTTCTGGTTCATGTTTTTGTTTGATCCCCCTGCAGACTAACATCGACCCTGAAAATCACCCTGCAGGCTCACCTGCGGACCCTGTACGAGGTATTCTCTGAGGAGGGTCATCGGTCATTTCAGGATGTGGGAACGGAAACTGTGCAGTGAAAGGACTCGTTTTCACACGCTGCCTTAGCTCCATTGAAACGCGGGGTCTGTCTGAGTGGACCGGTCAACCAGCCGCGGCGATTCGATCGCGTCCTGCACAGGGCACTGCGCGCTTCGCGCATTGGGGCGCTCTCAGTGTCCATCTTCGGTTGGGGAACCTGGGCGCTGGACCGCTTGGGGAAGAACTGGTCCCAAGGCCCTTGGATTCAAGCCGGTGTTGTTGCGGCTAGCGTTGCCAGATTGCCCTCTTGAAATGCTGCCCGAGGGGATTGGAAGATGAGGATTCTTGAATGACTCGGGGGTGTGACGTTTGATGTGTGATGTTTCGCAGCCCAATGCAGAGGACAATCATGGTCCTTGGTTCTGGTTCCTTTCCCCTGATGTGCCCCCCTGAAACTCGGTCTTCGTGCCTAGATTAGATAACTTTATAGTTTCGGGCGAATACGAATGAGACTCTGAGGATGTTGGTTCCGAATGACGCCTGGCAACTGTACCATGCTGCACCACCGCACCGCCTGACATGGGCCCCAAACGCATCTGATAACACCACTATAATTACTGCACATGACAGTTCGGGCTCCAAGGATGTTCAAGTGGGAAAAGGCGGACGAACACAGGCAGACCTCGACCTGCCGCCCGTGGACCAGTGCTTTGCCACAGCGGTTGTAACATAGACAGTGACTGGTTCATCCGTTGGAGTTCCGTAGCGAGCATGGCGCACATTTAGTGTGTGTTTATGCTGCTTTCTTTTTTGCTGAAACTACACTGGCTGCACAACCTTGTCTTTCGGGCTCCCACTCATGTAATGTCCTTGAACATGAACATACAGGTTTGTCTCAAAAAATTGGGGAAGAAGGGGGAAATGGACAAAGGCCTGTCAGTTTAGCCGTGCACAATGCTGCTGCGAATCAGTCCCGGACACACCACCACCACCACCACCACAACAACAACAACATACCATACCCAATCATCAGAAACCGACAGAAGGACACCCACACACCTGGTCCAGAACTCCTTCCACCCTCTCATCTCACCCATCCCATCTCACTCTTTTCCCTCCCGTCTCAGGCGTGGGCTACACCACCGGCGTCTCGGACGTCTTGGCCGATCCACAGGACTTCCGCCAGAAGAAGGCGCCGGAAGCGGACGATCTCGGACGAGCTCGTTGGACGGTGGACCAGTGCTTTCACGGAGCGTCAGTGGAGGCCTGTTCGAACATATCTCTAAAGTACCGATAGATATATACAAGATTATACAAGTGGTTCGGGGGCTCTTTTCAGGCTTTGTTCCAATACAATCTAACACGCAGCTGTAGTAGTTGTAGGTTCTTTCTGATTTGGCTGTTGATGAGTGCAGTGTAAGGTTTCTTGTTAGATGATTCCTGTACATGAGAAATGAGAAGGTGTGGTCAGTTGGTGGCCACACAATAGCAGAAACTGCTCTGGCTGGTTAGTATAAGTTCATCATAGTTCTATTCCGCCCTGTGACATTGCTGAACTCGGCACTGTAAGTCTTGGTGAGAAGTGGATTCAAGTGGATTAATTGTCCGCACTCCAGGTCGGTCACGCGAGCGCACACGAAGTACTACCAGTGTGCACGTCTCAGTGTGCATGCGGTCCCGAGTGGTTGTAATTTCGCTTCTTGGGTCAGACTCCAAACGCTGACCGGCACAGGGATTGGGACTCTTGTCTTCATGTCTTGGCTCAGACTGTCGTAGAAACATGTAGAAACTGTGGCAGCACGTACAATGAATCACTGAAGCAGTCAGGATTTTGCTGCCAAATCCTGACTGGCCAACAATGTAGAACTGAACTGCAAGGTTGCGGAAGCCAATCAATACTCAGATTCTTTTTCACCAGCAACCGCCAAATTCCTGAAACCGAATGTCGTCACTGTCGCAATGTCGTCACTTACTGCCAACCTGTCTGATGGCCATCACAAGCATTTTGAGTCTTTGCATTTTCCATCTGTGTCGAAGTTCTTCGTCTCCCTTCGAATCGCCTCCGGACCGGCGACTCAAAGAATATGACTTCAATGAACACCAGCATGACGATGATGTTTGGGGATGGCAGACCTGGGTCATGGCCGTTTTCTTGGCATTGGTATGCGGTGGTGGGCAGCTTTGTTGCTGCTTTGGTTGCATCCGAGTTGGATTTCAACGAGGAGATTTCCAGAGCTATGGAAGTGGCTTGTACACGCCGATCACCGAGGGGGAGCTGGCGAAGCATGCCTACCGGCCAGACCATGAAAAAATTGGTCATATCCTGCGGCAAGAAATGAGATTGATGTTATTGTATCCGCTCATCCCACTGCTTTTGATCCGCCAAACCAGCTGTGAAAAAGGCATGCCATTCTGGGGCTATTTGCTCTACATACCTCTTCTCTGCCGTGCCAAGTGGGTTGAGATCAAGATCATGCGTGCCTTGAACGAAGACCTTTGCGGCATTTTCTCCATGCCTGGCTTTTGGCTGGGTTGCTTGGAACACGCCGATTGGTTCACGGATGGCGCCTTGCCGGTGCAGGCGAGGCCCCTCTTGTTCCGTTCGTAGCGTCCGATCGCTCCGTTCATAGCGATGCCAGGAGCCCCTAAAGTAGCTTCTTGTTACTAGTAGTGTCCTTGCTCCTAGTAGTACGGCCAGGAGCCCCTAGTAGCGTTCTTGCTGCAGTAGTACGGCCAGGAGCCCCTATAGTAGCGTCCTTGTTCCTAGTAGATCGTAGTAAGGCCCTTTTGCTCCGTTCGTAGCTTCTTGCCCGGTGCAGGCCTACTTGTGCGGCCCAACGGTCACGGAGCACTTCGCGGAAAGCTTCGAGGTCTCGGCGGCCTGGCCGCTGGCGCCGATCATCCGGACGCTGCACTTCTGGGGCTTGTTGACACTGGTCCCTGGACGGAAACGAAGAATAGATATAGGCAATAGATATAGGACCGTTTTCCTTGGAATATGAATTTTGGTTAGGCAATGTGCCAGAACTGCGGTTTGGGACTCTGACGGACGATATATATATATATATAACCGTATATAACACCTTGTTTTTTTAAAATGTGACACCTTAAGCAGCTTGTCATAACATCAAGGTTGACCTAAGCATAAGGAGATCTGCCCACATCCAGGTCTTGTCCTTTGCAGCCCTGACGCAGCAACTCTTGGGTGCGGTGGACAGTGGAGAAGACCGCCATGACTTGGCGGCGGATGTGCCGGGCTTCGGCGCAGTGGCCAATTGGTCTCCTGGGTAAAAAAACTGGGTAAAAGAACGGAGAAAGCAGAGAAAGAAAGGTTGAATGATGCTAGATGTTCTCGTTTTTTTATCTTTTTGGGGTGAATGTTCTGGGGAAGATGATGTCTGATGCTTCTTTTGCACAAATTCCAAGGTATGAAGAACAGGATCGTGACTGGAGCAAGGCCGCGGAGGACGGCGGGTGCCTGAGCGAGCGTGCCTTACTCACCTCCATTTCCAAAGTCTTCTTGGAGAACGTGGTGCAGCTTTGGTTGCAAGCCTCCTTCTTTGCTCTCATTTTCAAGCGCTTGCATCATGTTGGGAAGGTGAAGCTGTTGATCTCTATGGGCCTTGGCCTTTTCTCGTGCCTGGCCAAAACCTTGCCCATGGCGGTCGGTCTTTGCCGGGCCTTAGCCAGTGGCAGCGTTCGCTGGCAATTGGGTGTGGCCGTTCTTTGTGGTCAGATGGTGGCAGTGTTCGGTGTGGCTTGGACGATCGCGAAGCTGTATCAGTCCTTTCATTGTGAATCTCACATCTGGAATCTCACCTCTGGTTGTGTGCCCATGGAGATGATCGAACACTTCAAACCCTAAATTTGGGTGATGTTGACTGTCAATGAGTGCTGTTTGCTAAAACATGCTAAAACGAGGGGCGGGAGCCTGTAATTATTCGGTGCTCTGATTTTGCAACAAAAAGGACTCAAGGCCAAGCTAGGAGTCAAGGAAATGAAAGTTTGCGTTTGCGTATATATATATATATATATATGTATGTATGTACATAGGTTTGTTTGAAGATGTTTGAAGAAAGGCTCAAGAGTTGATATATATATATATATTATATTATATATACATGCAAAATGCCAGACTGCTCACTCAAATCATGTTCAATCAGTTAAAACTCGCATGCCCTGGTTGTTTGGACGCACCTGGTCTAGTCCTTTTAAGACGCAGGTCACACCAGACCCAGGTCCGGGTGCGACCACGGCCACGCCAGGCGACGTCCTTGCTGAAATCGATGAACGCCACCGACGCGGAGGGTCACGTGAGGCCGCGGAACCGCGGAAGCTCCGCGGAACCCGCTGGGGTGTTGGACCGTTGGACCACGGGTTCCGTGAGCGGGGTTTGGAGGTGAGGGCAAGCCGTGTCTGGGGTCAGGCTTGCAAACTCATCGCGTGGCAGTTTTTGTATCAGGTCACTTTGGAAGGCCAGGGTCATTGGCAGGGAATCGAGGGGAATTGCCTCCGCACCCGCACATTGACAGCAGACTTTGCCTGCAGGATGGCTGGGCCATGCAGGGCCATCTCGACTGAACACTAAATTAAACTAAATTATTGTGTGAAAGGTTTTGATAATGAGATTAATTACTCGTATAGATTAATATATTATTATCAATTAGTTATTTGTTATATATTATATATGTATATACCCTGGGTGTCGAAGACCATTGTTAAAATGGTCTCTCGGGAGAAGCCATTTGGATCCAAAGAAAGACGTTTTCAGTTTGCAGTCCTTGCTCTCTATGGCTCAATACAGTAGCTTTTGTATCTGGAGGTTCAATTGGCAACATGGTTTCAACCCGAAACATGCACCATCACATCCCCAGACTACTAAACTTTGACACTTGCTCTTCTGCCTCGCTGGTGAATCCCGGCAATGAGCGAGAACATCAAGATTATCGTATAGATTCGACCACGGGTGTCATTGGCTGCATTTCGATTGCATAACAATGGAAGGTCATCGAATAGAAGCACACAAATGTATCATATATATCTATATGTTTTCCTCCATTCAGGATGCTAGCTGCTAGGATGATTTAGCCTAGGATTAGAGCAATTAAACTATGCACAATCCAACGCATCCAAAGGACTGAGCGATGGACGCTCTTAGTCTACACGCCTCGGGAGTTCACGCATTCTTGCCCACCCTTCGCGACGTTTCCGTCCACGAATGTCCACGGACGCCTGGGCGCCAGGCTTTGTGAGGATCATTCGGAGGAGGTGAAGGCCGGTGGTTTTTTTCCCAAACAGGAGAGCGCGAAAGCTTGGAGAAGCGGAAGAGACGTTTGAGGTAAAGTTCTCGGAGCTTGAGTTGCGATGGAGCTTGAGATGGAGCTTGACCTCGGATGTCCAATGATGAAAACATATGAACACTCAAAAGCAATCGAGCATTCTTTGATTCAAAAACTCTGGCCCGGAAAGGGAAACCCCCATATTATGCCTAACCAATTTGATTGTTTCCAAGATCCTTAAACGTGGTGGTTTTTCCACCACTTGTGGACCCCGGTCACACCGGGGCTCGGTCCTCGCAGGCCGTGAAGCGGGTGCTTCCGCGCTTGCTGCGCGCCGCCCGGGCCCAGGTCCCTGACCGAGGTCGTGGGACCTGCCCAGGTCTATTTTTCCATGGGGTTTTGGGTCGATGAAGTCGGAGGAATAGCAGATGCCGCACAAGGAGGACCATGACGGTCGTTGAGTGAAAGCAAAAACCCAACAGGTGGTGCCATCCCCGTAACTCCATGAGGATGTTCAGGGAGTGCAGTGACCATTGACCCCTTCTTTGACGCTTGGGAGACCGAAATACCTTCTTCTTGTCCTGGTGCAGTGGCCGAGTGCTGATTCAGCGGCGGCTCCGTTCAAGGGATGGGAGCGGAGCGCATCACATGGTGTGACCTGGTGGAAGTGGAGGAGAAAACCTGGTTACAAGAGTTACAACTGAAAAGAACCAGACCCAGCTGCCCATACACTATTGGATATGTTGAAAAGCTGTTCTACATGCTAGCTCATTGGTTTGATTTTATATGACCTTAGTCAGCAAGTGAGCAACTTTTCCCGACCTGAGTTTGGAGAAGCGAATCCTGGGTGAGATGAGAGGGCTGGGGGCTGGCGGGTTTCAGTGTACCCTCTAAATGAAAGAGTCTCAACGAAGGGTTGGCTTTGATGATTCAGGATAGGTTGGTCTAGATGGGTTATTTGTGAGGGCCTGGCCGCGGCGATATGCGCCGGACTGCTGCAGTAAAATCAGAAATTGGCTGCAGACATGTCGATCTCTCCATTCTGAAAAGGTAGTTGGACCTTCAAAGTTCAATTATACCCTAACCGCCTTCCAGAGGCTCGCAGGGCCCATTCTAAGACACATCTCGGATGAATCGACGGATCGTAGGAAGCGACCGGTTTGAGCCCGTCGGATGAACATATGGAAATGGACAGCCTTGCTCCTGGGAAGATGGAAGACGGTGTTTCTCTCCCACAAGCAATTCAAGCCTGGAGAGGCTGACCCAGGAGTTGGCTCCTATTCGACCAAGTCGTTCCTGGACACCTATTCCACCTGCTTCATCCATCGGTGCGCCGAAGCAGGTGGATGCCTTGGCAGAAGAGATTTTTCAAGCCATCCAACAAGGTGTGTCAGAGGGTGGGGAAACAGGAGGACCAGTTCACCTCTGGGGGATTCCCTGGATTTTCACAACCAGGACATTGATCTGGGGCCTACGGCAAGCCTGCCTTGCCTAACGTTAGGAGGCCAGAACGTTGAGAGATTTGAGTCGGCACTATAAGGACCATCCCGCGGACACCAGTGTCCACACTTTAAGTTTTTGTTGTGCCTGGCAAGGCCTGCACTTGATCAGTCAAGATGAAGCCAATTATATAATGTAATTAGACTCTTGACACTTGATTCATGAAACCCTGAAGGGGTCTCACAAGCCAAATGGGGGAGCTTTGTTAATCAAGAGTCTATCTACATTGAGTTAATTAGGAGTTTCACTCTGTTTTTTTAAGCACGAAAGTTTCTTGATGCCTCCGTCGGCCAGATCTTTTTCATTTAGGCAATGGCCTGCTTGGTTGGGCATTGCATCAACACGCAGCAAACTGAGCTCAAACAGCAAGTGACAGCAGATTACTGTAGCGCCCGGGGTTCTCCAGCGCGATCTAGTTTCTCTTCTTTGCAATGTCACTGATGCCGTCCGAAATGATGAACAGTTTGAACCACATGCACATGACGTGCCCACAGCAGCCTGAGCAACAGGTCATCGTATTGGTCCCAGTGGACCAGAACTACATGACATCAATCCAAAACTCCGTTGTTCCGGTGAACTACGTGACTTGGTGGCCTCAGCCAACCCAGCCGACTCAGCCAAACCTACATCAGCAAGCTGCAAGCGTGCAATCATTACAGGTTCCACGTGCTTCAGCTCATCAGGCAACATCCGTCCCACCCAGCAGTGGCCAACCGACGCCGCGTACACGCTTGCCCAGTGATGACAGTGACGCGGAGAACATTGAGAAGCCACGATTCACAGCCAGCACAGCACGGCGCCTGAGGCGAAAGCGTGCTGCAGAACGTGCCAAGAGAACGCATGCTGAGGGTGCACCACAGCTGAGCCTGGAACAGCTCCGTGCGATGTTGATAGAGGAACCAGCTGTGGCAGTTCAGAGCATGAAGGACAATGTGTGGGCATGGTCTCGGAATGAGATCGGCTGTCGCCTGGTGCAAGAGGCATTGGAGATGGGAACACGTGAGGCTGCTGAATTGGCCGCTGAGTTGCAGGGCCATGTTCTCGAAGCAGTGACATGCCCCTATGCCAACTATGTAGTGCAGAAAGTGATTTTACACCTCTCCACTGCAGCAAGTAGCTTTGTGGCCCAAGAACTTCATGGCAGTGCTGTCCGTGTGGCCAAACACCGTTTTGCTTGCCGAATCCTTTGCAGACTTGTTGAGTTGACCAAGTCCAGTGCAACCTCGGATCTCGCTGACGAGCTGATGCTGGAGTTTGCTGACTTGTGCACACACAACTTTGCACATCACGTAATGGAGTCTATTTTGGAGAACGGTGAAGAGCGCCACAAGAAGCAAATTGCGGAGGTGTTGCTGACAGATCCTTGGAAGTATGCAACCCATAAGAATTCAAGCTACCTTGTTGAAAAGGCTTTGTCCTACTGCAGTCAAAGTGAGCAAGAGATCTTGGTTGCAAAGCTGGGTCACCCACAAGCGATCTTGGACCTTGCTTTGACTCAGTTTGGATGCTATGTAGCACGAGCACTGCTTCGCCACTGGTGTGTGAACGCTGAGGTCGCAATGATACTCATAGCAGAACATCAGAAAGACTTGGAGGCCACACCACATGGTCAGAGATTTTTAGTTGATGTTGGCCTCATCCAACCATGCCCGGTTGGACAGATGTGATGGTTGCTGACAGGGTATCAGTCTGCCCGTTGAGGCGAAGATCCCAAAGATTCCCGTTGTGGCGGACGCACAAAATTCCCGTGGACCGTGTAACTTGTACAGCTTTTCTGCTCATTGATCACTTGCCACAAGGGCGGCGGAGATTCAACCGGATCAGATCAACTTGAGCAGAGCTTTTTTGCAGAATGTCCATTGCATCCCATTGCCCCACAACAAGCCTTCAAAGACACACGCAAAGAGATGATTTCTAACTAGCTGATTTTTGTCGGGCAAGGGATTGGCCTTTGCAACTGTACAGCTAGCCTGAAGGTTGACATTCTGTAGAGCCTGAGAATCATAAAGCTTCCAGGTCTCACAATCCCAAACTACAACAGAACCCACGGTCATTGGAAGATGGGAAAGGCAGCGGCTACCAGCATGGTCTTGCTTCTGATTGTCGAGTCTAGCGTTGACAGAGCTAAGCTATGTTGAGACATTTGTTTGATGTCGGCCTGTCGGCCATCCAAGGGAGTTCATTGGTTCATTTCCACCAGGCAATGCTGTCAAGGGCAAAGTAAAGCGGTAATATCAGGTGTTTGTTAATTTTTTGTAATGAGAGATTTGATCAACACTGTTGTAGGTTAGTGATGTTTCCAAGTTTATTCACTGTTGAGCCAATTGAGTGAATAAGGAGTTTGACTCCATTGAAAGCACCAAAGTTCTTAGATACCTCTTTTTCAGCCAGATGTCTTTCCTCTCAGCAACCGCCTGCTTGGTTTCTCACTTTCCATCAACATGCGGCACTCAGAGCTGAGATGTTCAGCTCAGTGAGAGTACTGGGCTCGCGCCCGGGCTCGGGTGAAGTGCCCCGGAGCTTTTCAGGCCGAGCATTTTCAGGTTGGTTGACCTTTCAATTTGCCTTTTGACGGAACCAGGGACCATCAGGATCGGGTGATATGGATTCGAGCTTGTGACTTTGTTTGTAGCCCTTCTTTTGCTTCTACTTGAGCAAAAGGCAAGCACAGACCGTGCAAATTGCACACATATCTCACGGGCACAAACTTTTCGAGCCCCAAATTGTTTGGGCAGAAACACCTTGTTTAATCTAATCCTGTGAAGATGTTTCAGCAATGATCCAATTGACATCATTCTTGGCCGTTCTTGGTCACACTTACTGTAGAACTTGTGGACGCAAAATTCCGCTGATGTTGCCCTGCTTCCTCGCCATCAATCCCCCAATGCCTGTGGATCCATGTGGATCACACGCCGAGTTGATGGCGAGTCAGGCGAAGCCACACGCAGCCAAGAGAAGGACTTGGAGACCTTGCAACGGGCGCAGAAGCGTTTGCAGGGGTGACTCGAGCGCAGTGGATGTGCTTTTTTAAAGAACAATTGGATTGAGGGAACCTCTACAGGAAACCATGGTTTTCACCCCAAAACTACGGGTTTCCGGTAGTTTTTCCCGTAAACCTGGGATTTCAGTGCGGTATTTATCGTGGTTTCGAAGTACTTGGGCGATTGGGAGCTGGAAATCAAGCTTGGCAAGTGTCAATGCATGGGCGGGGTTGTCTAGGAGTACCAAAAAAGGTACCGTTCGTTGCAACAAGGCCATCCCAGATTCACCACAGACACTGTTGTACACTGGAACTACCGTAGAAGTGAATGAAATGACCAATTGGTGTTTTGTTCTGTTTGTAATCATTTAGGATTTAGGACATAATTGTTTCATTTGTTCCTTCACGGCCTTACCCGTGGCGGTACGCAGGACGCAACTGCCACCATCACGTACACAGACCCTCACAGTTCTGAAGTTCTGGGTCACACGCCATTGTTCTACAGGCGGTGTCCCTTTCGTTTCCCATTACCTTTTAAACAAGATGTTTCCATCAAAAGGGAGTCTTGTTTCTATACAGTGTTCCAATAATATGGACTTCCTTTTAAGGGTTCCAACATGTTCGGTCTCTGAGGAACCAGACGTCCCGTCCGAGGTGGTCGGACCATGGATTCCTGGTGGTGGACGTGAACACTCCCAACGCCTTCGCCCGGCGCCCGAACTCGATCGCACCGGTCCGGGCCCGGGACCGAAGTCCACCGGCCCGGTGGGGGTCACCGCCGTTCGGAGCCAGGTCACTCCGATGTTGCCGCGGATGGTCTTCGTGCACCGGGGCATCTTCTGCCGCTCGGGAGCGGAGGGACGGAGCGGAGGGACGAGGGGGTCATAGGTGTGTGGGGTCAAAGATGGGTCCACATCATCCATTTGGTCATCTAACATTTGAATGTTTCAGTTAGGATGATTCAGTTGGTATAGTTTTAATAGTAGTTTAGCAGTTATCATGATCATACATTTAGCGGTTTGGTCAAGAATTTGCCCATCGCATACCAGCACAGGCTCTTACAACCCACTCGTGCAAGACGATCATGTTCTCTCAGAAACAACATGCCCAGACGCGACCCTGGACCCTCCGTTCAGTAGGGGCCGGACCCTCAAATTGCTATGGTTTGGTTCAGGACTGGTCGGGCTGTGAACGGAGCGTTTGGGTGCTTGAGTTCCTGGGTCCAGAGAGGACAGACGCGATCGGCGATCGCCTGGGAAGGGCCCGAAAAGGGTGACGGAGGTGGCACGGAACAAAGAACATGAATAGGTTGACTCTTGGTAATGTAGACTCTTGATTAATCAACCTCCCATATGAAGAGTATGGCCAATTCAAATGGGGGGTTATTAATCAAGAGTCTGCATTACTTGTACTTGTTGCAGTCGCTCAGAAAACATCCTGAGAACATGTCCACACCGTTGTAGTTCTCCTGATCCTGTCAATTTAAATGTAGAAGACCATGCAGTGGCTTCAGACAAAACAAGTTGGGCCCCTGTGTATACATACATGTGGGTGTGTTCCATTACCTGGCACCTGTAACGATCGGTAAAGGATATCAGTTTGGGGAACGGTTTGCAACCCAACAGAACCCAACCATCATCAGTACCATATGATATACCATGATATGCCCAATGCCAATATGCAGTATGACATAGAAAATTAGAAACGTCCCACATCACGTGGGGTTCACCGATGTAAACCCCAGGGGTCCTGCCGCTTTGCTGCTTTCAGCGGATCGCCCAGGGGTCGATGGCTTAGCGCGACCAGAGGCGAATGGCGGTGGGCTTGTCGACGGACGGGGTCGATTCAAAGACAAGTAGGCCAAGTGAACAAAGTTAACATCACCTAGGGATCCCTGAGCTGCGGCGGTTAACAGTGTGGGATATTTTTTCGCCCCTGCTTTGACCTGAGAGTTCTCCGTCAAGCTTGAAGGTTTGAAAGATCATGAGGGGGGCTATCTACAAAGGCCCTTTCTTGGCCTTTAGATGCCTTTAGTAGACCTGCATCAATTCTTCGGCTTGACTTGACTTCCATTCATTTCCCTGTCAGCCTGTCTTCAATGGAATCCTCCGCCCACCTCTCCTCCCAAGCATTCTCTTCGCGCAGGGGCTGCAGGTGGGGAAGGAAGTCTATGTCCGTCGTGATGGCTGGCAGCGGGCGAAGCTGGTCTCCCAGCACCAGGTGCGCAGCAACAAAAAGCAGCAAGGTGCAAAGGGGTTTGCAAGGGGTGAGTCAGAAGAAGATGTAAAAAGTGGATGGACACCTATGTACACCTGTATACGTCGTAAGGTTTGGTGTCGCGACCGACTTGATGGATATTTGATGATATTTGTGAAATATGTATATATGATATTAACACTCCTTTGTATCGTTTAAAACAAATGTCTGTGTTTTTTTTGTGTTTGTTTTTAATGGTGGGTCTTGACCCTTTACCCTATTACATTTTATTGACTTGTTTGACTCACACCCACTAGGCTTTGACCCTCCAGGATCAATGGGCCGCCATCTTGGGCGATTCCGAGACGGTCACCGTTGGGCCCGAGGACCGGGGGGTCGTTGGCCGTATCCTCCGTATACCGGGTCCGCCAGGGCTTGTAGCTGCTGAGCAACTTGTTGCCCTATGGATCCACATACCTTCTCAGAAGGCAATTGGACCCTCCAAGCCTACATGCATAGTCTCCAATCACCTTCTCAGAAGGTATGTCGATCCATAGGGTTGGAACTGGTTGCGCAACGTACTGAATCTTGTTGCACGACGCAACCATGTATTTACCTTGGTGAAGCTCTTGTAACGAATCCTGCGTCGCAGGCTGCATAGCAGACTGCTTGCAGACGTTCATATGGGATCTCAATAGAGCAAAGGCAAAGGTTTAATGCCACGGTGGGAGTTCACACGACGCCACGAGCAGCCACAGGCTGAGAAAGGCACTACTGGTCTCTTATAGTTTGCTATTAGGTTGGAGGCCATTCCTATTAGTAGGTTGCAGGCCATTCCTATTAGTAGGTTCCTTTTTGCCATTGGGTTGAACAGCACTTTGAGTTATTTTTGTTCCACTTCGCTTCAGCTTCGGACTCGCCGGAGTCTCGTGAACACGCGATGTCAACGCGCCAAGCCGCGACCGCCGGCCTCGCCAGGATATGAGAGTTCGCGAGCGGAGGCAATTGGTGGAGAACGATGAACAGTGACTCGACGACGAAAAAAGCCGGTTGAGCGTTTTTGCTCACACACCGTTTGATCGGTTCAAAAAGTTTGGGACGGTCAAATTGAAGTACATCTCGAGATGTTTGTTTGACAACACTCTTCTCATGTATTAAACAGCAGAACAGCAGATGTCATGTGGTTCATGATGGAATGCAAAGATGGTAGCAGATGATAGTAATCAGCCCTTCCAAAGATATTTTTGAGTACACTGAGCCGTCCGACACCGGGATGATCCAGCATGACCCAGAGTCATCCTCGATCACCCATAGCATCACCTGATCGTTCGAACCGCACGGCCCAGGTTGGCGATGCTTTTGGGTCACGAGCTGGCACATGCGGTCCACGACCACGGCTACGAGAGCTTGGGGATTTGGACCACGGCCTACTCGTCCCTGGACCGGGGCAGCGGGGCATTTGTCGGGGCGAACGAAAGGTCATGGTGTGTCAGTTTGGAACCGATATTTCATGATATTTCATCTATGTCTTCAGCAGTGTTCATCACATTTTCTACAGTAATCTCAGGAGCAGGTTCGGATTTTCCAAGTGTGTCCTCAAACCAGATGTACGCTGGTTGGATCTGTGGAGAAGGGGAGGACCTCGTTTTTCATCGTTCGGGTGGGACACTTTGGTCCGACATGGTGAGACACCTTGGTCTGCCTTCTTAGCACAGGTGGGTGTGCTGAAACAGGAGATCGGTGTTTTGGTTGATGCATTGACTATTCCTTGGGTGCGAAGAAATTGCTATGGGGTGGCCAGTGATAATCTCGTTTGCACTTATTCTCAGAGTGATATGTATTTATAATATGATTATTAATGTAACTGTATATACTGCACTGCTTTGTCAAGGTCTTCACTATAAATCATCATCCAAGTTTTCCTCATGATAAGATCTACTCAGAATCACTCAAGCTACGTCCGTATCCCCTATAGTTGATACGCTAAAATGGTGAAACCGCCATCCCTCGCTTCACTGCGATGTGTTCGTTTTCTGCAGAAGTTCATAGAGAGGCCATCTATGGCTCTGTGTCGATTTGCAAACGACGCAAGACCGGCGACAGATCCTAGGCCCACCCTGGAGCACTAGACCCATACATGGACCCCATACCCCCCTGGGGAATCTCCTCCATCTGGCTCAGAAGGATTCCATCCCCAATCACACAAGGATGGCCTCGGGCCTTTTTGGCCAGAGCCAGAGGCTTGCAACAGGGAAGGCGATCTTTTGGCTACCCATCGGCTTGGCTGACATTGGGTGTTTGCTGTTGTAAGACCAAAACTGATCAAGACATTATATGTTCCCCAACATGGACACGCAAGACCTGTGGCCAAGTTGCCAACAATTTCGTTTAAAGCAGTAGCAGCAGCCCTCAGTTGGAACTTACCCGATACTTTTGCCTGGTCTGTTCCAGTCTCTTTCTCCTCCAGATTTTGAAAATGGTTTCGACGCCTGGACAGAAAAGCAAATGAAAGAGGCCAACCCAGGCCCCAACATATAATCATATACCAGCACCCAAGGGATGGTTATTGGATGAAAAATGCATCTTCAAGGGGTTCTATCACTATAAACTACCCCCTTTGGGTGGTGCTGGTATAATCACATGTATGTTTGATTTTGTTTGGATCGATTTCTCCATGATATTCCATGATCCTTTCTGTGGAAGGACGCACATTCGCCCATCAGCATTTCCTGAGGTTGGAGTTGGTGTCGGCACCTCAGAGGACATGATGGAATGCAGTATCCCGGGAGGAGCAGACCTGAATCATTCTGTGGGGGTATGAATCCCATGCAGTACCATGAAGTCCCACGAACTTGCATGGTTTGTTCATCGCAAAGTCATCCTTCCTAATTTGGAGAATGCCAGCAGTAGGTGAGCTTCTATGTCCTTCATTTTGCAGGCATCATCGGGGATCACTTGGATGTTTGGTGCCTTTTTTCATGTTTGTTTTTTCCCACTGGTTTGTCTTCTTTTCTGTTTGGAATCGTTCTCCAGATCTCAAGTCTCCCAATTGCGATGAGCACCGATTCCAAGCAAGCGATGCCTTCCAGAAAACCGAACGCTTGGAACCGGCCAAAGCACCTATCTCTTTTGCTAGGCCAACCAAGCTTGCACGGCTTGGCGTCGTTCGTCGTTCTTCAAACAGGTTTCGAGTCGTGGTGGCGTTTGGGGATTCCTTTGCTAGTAATTACAATTCTAATTCTTATTGTTACTACTAGTAAGGCACTTGTTACTAGTAGCGATGCACTTGTTCCTTGGTCCCATAGGTTGCTGAGTATCCTGGACCCATCGGGGATGTTCATCTTCTTGCTGGAGCTGGCAGCGGGCGCCATCGCCAGGTCGGTGAGCGGTCGGTCACAGCGGTCGGTGACGCGGTCGGTCACTTGCTGGACCCCAAAGTGCGTCCAACATGCTTACTCCACGGGAAACGGTGAATGTAAAGGCATAACAAGAGTTTTGCTTTGTTAAATATGCGTAACTTAATAATAGACCCTTGAGAAGAAGAGGATTGTGCATTTGATTGGACAACAACTTGGCATCAGACCCTTCCTTGTTCACTTGTGGCGCACTAGTGTGAATCGGACCCAACATTGCCAATTCGGTGAGATTCCAGAATTCAATAATCGATCGTCAAAAAAGACAAGTGCACACACACACACCCAACCGCTTTTCGAGGTATGCCTTTGTGCTGCCTTTGGGTCGCTGCGATGAAATGGAGGCAGGTGCGGACGTGACGTTTGTGTGACCGGGGGTCGGACGTCCGCGACCCAAGGTCCGCCAAACAGAAGGTCAGCGAGGTCAGGTCCCCAAAAGTAGTTGCTTGTAACGTATATATATATATACCTCATACGTGACATGACCCATCGATGGAATTTGAACATGGTAGACAAGTTTCGTGCTGGGGGCTGTGAATGAATGCAGAGGAAACATGAAGAAACGCTCGGACAGATCGAAGCATGCAGTGGGAGCACGGCTCCACACGAGCACGACGGTGGAGGGGACCGAAGCATGGCGCCGATCAAGCAACGGTGAAAGCGGCAAATGGTCCCATAAACATCCATAAACCATCATCAGAGCTTTAGGCCCCACCTCGAAGGCAGAAAGGAAGAAGATGGGGAATATATAGACCGCTCGTTGTGAAACACACCCAAATGAAGACACTCAGTACTGTGTGGGGTGGAGTCTTCTTGAATTGAGGGCAAAGCGGTATGCTCAAAGGCATTTGATGCATTTGTGGGTGGGGAACCACCGTCTTGTCCATCCATGAGCAGAGGAAATCAGAAGTTGGCTCGGGCTCGAAGCATTATATATCCCTTCGAATAATTGTTCAATATTTTTGAGCATGACTATGATGGATGGAGTTCTGCTTCCCATGTTTCTGCCATTTAAGCTCACCCCCCCCGGCTCACCGCTCTCAAACGCGCTCAAACCACCGCTTCTGGTCCAAAGGCGGACGCCACTGGACTGCAGATCTGTGCACGTGCGGGCTACGACCCGCGCTTGGCCACCGAGTTCATGGAACGCTTCGCCTCGTTCCAGGCACCGGAGACGATCTCCGTTTTTCGGAGACTCGTTCCGAACCGCCGAGGGAGACGTGTCAAAGCAGGGTGAAACACAGGTGAGGTTGATCTATTGGTTGATCTTCCACCACGGGCGACAGGGATTGATGTGGTACCAATTCATGTCCCAAAACCCTCGGGGAGATGAGCGGGGATGACGCTGAAGTAGCACAGTGACCATCGGGCTCCTGGTGAAGGCAGAAGCCTCTCATGCAAACATGCAACGGCGCTCCCTGTGCGTTGCACCTTGCACCCTGCAATGCAGAGCCAAAGCACACCCGTCCCAGTGGAGACCCTGATGGAGAGACCCCAACTAAACCAAGAGCCAAACCCAGACGAAAGCTTAGGACCTTTAAGAAACCTGTCGAAATCCACAAAACATTCAACGCATCCCACAGAATTCCCAAGACACATCCATCTCCAACGTTTCGTGCCAGCCCATCTTCGACTCGTGCCGGTAGGATGACCGGAGCCCCACCTGGGCTTCCACGCATCCGTCCACCGAGGCGTCCGTCTCGGAATTGATGGTGGGTCGCTTTCCACCCAGCTTTGGGTGGTGAATTGGGAAGGACAAGAATGTAAAGTTAGCACCCTTTCAGCATCTTCCTGTGGAACATGGCGGAATGGTGTTTCTTTGGTTTATCTGAGTGTTTCTTCAGGTCTGGGCTCCATTGAACTGGTGCTCCTTCTTTTTTGGCGGTGGTCTTCGCGGCGTCGTTCAGCCGCGAAGCCAAGCAGAAGCCCCAACTCCCGGGTGCCAAGCGGGTGCAGGTGTTGAAAGGATCAGCTGATTGTTTCTGTGAACCAACTTGTGGGCCTCTCCGTTTGGCTTTAGACGGTGAAGCCAGAATCCATCGTCCTTTGCTCGGGCAGGGAAGAATCAAAGCACTCAAAGATGCAGAAGCCGATGCGATCAAGTGCTTTCAAGAGCACCAGGCACTGTCCGTTGGTCATGGGTGGTGGCCCAGCAATTACAAGGGGTTCAAAGATGGAGATGTGTGATTGAAAACATTGAACAATGGATGACATCACTTATTTCTATTATATAGCTCCTCCTGGAAACCTTTTGAAATGGACAGTTCTACACGGTCTAGAGGCTAGTTTGGCTCCAGGGGTTTTATCTTTGAATCATTCTGAATCACTAGTCGCTATAGCATGCAGAGGTTCTTGGTAAATTTGTACAAGTGTATTTTCCACATGCTCGATCAAGCGTTTGATGCCTCTCATGAAGATGTACAGCAATGACGTTTGGTTGAGATCCAGGTGCTTTTGATTTGTTTGGTATATTCCTGCGAATGGACTGATGGTTGCAAATCTGATGGTGTATTCAGTGTATTCAGTTTATTCCCCAGAAAGAAACAACGAACAATAATAACATATAATATACAATGTATATTGTAGAGCTTCGCAGACCGGCGATGCCGGTTGGGCGCGCGTTCGCCATCGTGTTAGTTTATGATCTTTGTTGTTTTTCGCGGCTGTCCGTTGCCTTTGTACTTCTTGCTTTGTTACTATGGTTGTTGTTCCTTTCGAATGCATCGCGCGCGCGCCCCTGAGACCTCACATCAAACACGTATGAGGCGCGCGCACAAAAAGAGACCAGGCAAAATCCCTCAGGCTGGTTGTGGAGAGGCTGCAAGGCTTTATATGCATCATGTACAGCTTGAACTTGTTCACGAACATAGCCCCTTTTAGGCTGGAAAAGGCGCGCTACCCGCTTGCATGGTAGCGGAGCAGGGTTGAGCTCCTGCTCCGGGTCCCCTGTTAGACAGGGTAAGACCCGCGCGTGGGCGCCTGCGTGGTGGACACCCCGTAAATCCGCAGAGCGGTGGGGGTACGGTGTAATTCCTTCCCGAGTGGAGGTGTCAAGCAGCGCCCATGGCTTTGAACGCTGCGCCGCTTACCCCGCCAGGTGCATTCTCGCTCGGAGATTCCCTGGCAGCGGCAGCTGAAGCAGGTCTTCTACCTCAACAACAAGCTCAGCAGCAGCAAGCTCAGCCAGCCCTTCCAGCTCAGCAGGTCGGCGCCAGCGGTCTCATCGACACCAGAGCCATTGGCAAGTTGAAAAGCTTCTCAGGCAAAGAAGAAGAATGGGCAGCCTGGGTCTTCGTGGCAAGAGGGTACCTCAACTTGCTGGATACAAGCTACCAGGCCCTCATCCAGGCTGCAGAGAACGCCAACCGGTACAGCGACCTGATCCTGAGTGATATGGGGCAGCACGCCCAGGAGAAGGCCATCATCCTGTTCAACCTCCTCACCCAGAGCGTTGATGGCAGAGCCCTACAGGTGTTGATGAATGTGGAGAATGGAAATGGCTTCCAGGCTTGGAAGGCCCTCTGCGAGGCCTATGAGCCTGATGTTGGAGGAAGACACACAGCCATGCTGATGAGCATCATCGCCCCGGCATGGGAGACTGTCAAGGAGAACGATTTCCTGGAATCCCTGGAGAGTTGGGAAGTGCTGACGAGGCGCTATGAGATCCAAGCCAAGGAGCATGTCTCGGACTCCACAAAGATTGCGGTCCTCATGAAGCATGCGCCCATGTCACTGAGGTCAGCCCTGAGGACTGCTGGAGCTCAAGTCGGGACTAACTATGAGCGAGCAAAGAAGTTTGTGCGAGATTTCCTTCAAGCAGGGCAATACTACAACGCCAAGGGCGAGTTGGGCAAAGATGATGGAGGAGCAGCACCCATGGATGTTGGTGCAGTGTCCTTTGACAAGGGCAAGAAGGGCGGCAAGTCAAAGAATGACAAAGGAGTCAACAAAGGTGGCAAGTTCGACAAGAAGGGAAAGCCACCTCCTCCAAAGAAGTTCAACGGTGAGTGCTCCTACTGTGGGAAATGGGGGCACAAGAAAGCTGATTGCCGCTTGCTGGCCAAAGACAAGGCCAAGCGTGAGGGAAAAGGAAAAGGTGGCAGCACCAATGCCACAGCGGCATCGTCATCGGCAACTAGATCTGCATCCCCCGGTGGTGGACAGAGCACCAATGCAGTGTACTACTGGCTGCCTGGTGATGGAGAGCGTGTGAACTGGGCAGACGCCGAGGACGTCTTTGACATCGAGGATGAGTACTCAGATGAGATGTGGGTGATGATGATTCACCGAAGCAAGCAGCCATCGGACTGGCATTTGCTGGCATCCCAGTCGCCTGACAAGGAGATCAAGTACCTCCTGTGGGATTCAGGCAGTGATGAGCATCTATGTCGGCCTAGCTTTGGCGGCAACCGCCACACTGAGGAGAGTGAGGTGAAATTGATGGGCATTTCAGGACAGTGCCTTGGACGACTTGGCAAGAAGAAGGTGAACTACAAGATCATCGGCGAGGACAACAATTTCTTGAATGCGGTCACCGAGTTCAAGGTCAGCGAGCAGGCCAGTAAGGATGTCCTGAGTGCTGGGAAGATGAGTAGGAATGGCTTTGCAGCTGACATGAGGAATCCCATGAAGCCTTTCCTCACACACCCTCAGCTGGACTTCAAGATTCCTCTGTATCTCCACTGCAACTCCTACTATGTCAAGGTGCGGGACGACGAGACGATCCCCATGGACTTCATGGTGAACACTGGTGTGGTGGCACCTGTGGCAGGTCAAGGAGAGGAATATGAGTGGGAGTATGCAGGCATCGAAGATGAGGGAGAAGGGATTGAGACGGTCCCCATCCCACCTGAGTTTGCAGAGGATGAGGCCCATGCTCGAGCAGACCGTCCACGACTACATGGATGGAGCAAGGTGGAGGATATGAGAGCTAGACTCCGAGAGCTCAAGGAGCCTATCTATGGTGACAAGCACACCTTGTGGAAGAGGCTGCAGGCTGCAGAAAGAGCTTTGTCGATCAGGAGGGCACGGGCACGAGACTATGTTGAGAGAAACTCTGCCCGACAGCAAGCCTTGCGTGAGGGCAGGGAACCTGATGTCTCCTATGTGCCGGTACCTCAGAAGCCGGACACGGAGGAAGTTGAACGGCACCTGATCACACATCTGCCGCCAGCACCTTGGTGTGAGTTTTGCACCAGAGGCCATGCAATGGATGATCCTCATCGACGCAGGACAATGGAGCAGAAGCTGGCCGAGAATCACTTCGAGCTGGACTATAGCTTTCTCAAGACGGATACATCCATTGCAGAGCGGTTTGAGGAGAACTCAGACACGATCCTCTCCATCGTGGATAGCGGCACCGGGATGGCCCTGGCAATGTCCATTCCTGGCAAGAACCTGGAGACACCCTATGTGATCAAGACAGTGACATCCTTCATAGCACAGCTGGGCTACATGCAGGTGAAGCTCCGAAGTGACAATGAGCCTGTGATCAAGAAGATCGTTGCCAAGATAGCTGGTGCACTGCGAGAAGGGAAAGCTCCAGGGGCTGAAGGACTCAAGATACAATTTGAGGAAGTGCCAAGGTACTCATCTCAGAGCCTTGGAACAATGGGAGCATTCCAGAAGTTGCTCCGTGGTGATGTCTTGACCCTCAGGTACCAGACAGAGGCTAGCTATGGCATCACGCTCCACACCTCACACAACCTGTGGCCATGGCTGGTGAGGTGGTGTTCATTCATCCGAAGCAGGTTCAGCATCAAGGGCAACCAAAGGACAGCATACCAAGATGCCTTCGACACGGCATACACCTCGCAGTTGGTGCCCTTTGGTGAGACTGTGCTCTTCAAGATCCCTATGAGTAAGGCCAGAAGATCCCACAACAGGGCAGTGGTGCCCAAAGGGGAGACGGCGTGGCGTCAGGGCATCTTCCTTGGGAGAAGTGTGACCAGTAATGAGTATCTGCTGGGAACAGAAGATGGGACAGTGACGGCCAGGAGTGTGCGCAGACTAGCTGACAGCAGCAGGCGCTACAACAGAGAGCTGATGGAGAAAATGATCGGTGTGCCGTGGGACATGGGCACAACCATTGGCAGGCCAAAGAGGAAGGCCGAGATCGCCTTGCCTCAGACACCAAACCTGATCCCGACTGAAGAGACGGCCAAGAAGAGCCCCAGGCTAGAGCCGAGTGGGGAGGTCATCCAAGAGGAGGACGAGGGAGACTTTCCTGTGCAATCAGGTCCTTCGTCGGCATCAAGACCTACGGCTGGTGTGGGCGGTGATGAGGCAGCACCTATGGATTTGGGCATGTCTGCAAGACGGGCATGGGCAGGAGAGTCTGGTGAAATGACTCCGGAGGCCAAGAGAGCTCGCGTGGCTGGAATCTTTGTGGGTGCATTGTATTCGCCAACAGAAGACACCATTGTGTGCGAGGATGACGTGGACCAGGCCTATGAGGACTCAGAGAATGAGGAGAGCAAGCCTTTGAGCAGGCAAGAAATGGATGAAGGTGATGCAGAGGAATTCCGCAAGATGGACAAGTACCAGACCTATGACCCTGTGGAGCAGAAGGATGGCATGAAGATCCTGGATGCTGTCTGGGTCAGAACCCGGAAGCCAGATGGCTCGGTGAGGTGCAGGTACTGTGTGAGAGAGTTCAAGCGGGGAGACCCGCGCACTGACGTGTTTGCGGTGGCATCCAGTACCTCAACGTCAAGGGTCATTGACATTGTGGGCATCAAGATGGGCTACAGCTTCTTGACAGCTGATGCAGAGAATGCATTCTGGCAGGTGCCAATTGCAGAGGAAGCCTACATGAAGCCTCCTAAGGAGTGGTTGAAGAAGATGGCTGACAGCGGAGTCGATCTACCTGATCGCGTGGTTTGGAAGCTCAATACTGAGTGGTATGGCAGACGCATTGCTGGCCAGGCCTTTGTGGAATGGGCAGCTGGGCATCTCAAGGAGATTGACTTCAAGAGGAACCCGGCAGCGCCTTGGATGTTCTACAATCCGGCCAGTGGCGTGTTGATGGAAGTGCATATGGACGACTTCTATGCCACCGGACCTAGAGCAGCTTTGCTGGAGCTGGAGAAGAAGCTCCATGAGAAGATCAAGATGAAGAGTCAGATCCATGAGAACAGCGTGGGAGAAAAGTGGACGCACCTCAAGAGGACTCGTGAGGTCATGGATGGCGGCATCTTCCTGACACCCCGTGGGAAGTACATCAGCGACTTGTTGAAGATGTTGGGTTTGGAAGAGTGCAATCCGGCTCCAACACCATACCTGTGCTCGGAGGTCAAGGAGGGCAACAAGTTGAGTGGGGAGAGCTTGAGGATCTACAGAGCAGGGGTTGGCATTGCTCTGTACCTCTCCTACGACAGGACAGATGTGCAGTTCGCAGTTCGCGAGCTGACCAAGGACATGAAGGAGCCTACAGATGGAAGCCTTCACAAGCTGCATCGTTTGGCACGCTACCTGCAGGGCACAAAGGACTATGGCGTGTGGCTGCCCAAGGAGGGTGAAGTCGAGATTCTGAAGGTGCATTCAGACACTGATTGGGCAAACTGCAAGAAGACCCGGAAGAGCTGTGCCTGTGCAATGTTTGAGGTTGGAGGCTGTTTGCTGTTCAGCTATGCCAGGAGCCTCCAGATGCTTTGCCTGTCGTCTGGTGAAGCTGAGTTCAATGGTGGCGTGGCTGCCTGCAGTGAGGGATTGTTCATGAAGGAAGTGTTTGCCTTCATCGGCTTCCCGCTCCAGATGGAGGTCTACCTTGACAGCAGCGCAGCCCGTGGCGTGTTCCAGCGCCAGGGAGTTGGGAGGATCCGACACCTCGAAGTGAAGTCATTGTGGGTGCAAGATGCTTTGCACCGAAAGCTGTTTAGCTTGCATGCTGTGCCAAGCCAAGACAACACAGCAGACTTCGGCACCAAGGCTTTGGCAGTGAAGAGGTTCAATGAGCTGAGGTTGAAGCTGGGCATCGGGCTGAAGGAGGAGACAGCCTATGAGCAGGAGAGCAAGAAGCATGTTGAGAGCATCAATGCCATTGCCCTCAGCGGGTTCAGCAAGCAGGCCCTTGTCATGGCCATGCTGACTCTCTTGCAGAGCGCTGAGGGAGTGAGGACTGAGGAGCCCAATACAGAAGCATCAAAGTGGGGATTTGATTGGATCTTCACGGACCTTGCAGTGGCCTTTGGCATTTTGCTGGTCATGCAGGGCACGGCTTTGTGGTGATGCTTCCGCATGGTGGGAAGGCACCTTGCCTTGAGTGGGGGCTTGAGCTTCAAGCCGGCGCGGCCCGAGAGCAAAGATGTGGCCATCCAGTGCGAGAGGAACACTGGACGCTTTTCGGAAGTTTACATCCTGGAAGGCAGGGATGTGTTTCATTTGGACTCAACATGTCCACGACTGCAGCAACGCAGTCGACCCTACTTGCAGCTACGGAGCTGTAAGTGCTGCCTTGGACTGGGAATGCCCAGTATCCCGTGGGCGGCAGAAAGCTTGTGAAAAGCCGCTGAAAGACACCCGCCTTTTCAAGTGGGGTGCAAGGCTTTATATGCATCATGTACAGCTTGAACTTGTTCACGAACATAGCCCCTTTTAGGCTGGAAAAGGCGCGCTACCCGCTTGCAGAGGCCCTTTTTAATGACAAAGGATAGAAAACACTGTAAATATCAATGTTTTTTTGCTGCTAGAGGCTTCAAAAGTGCCCCAAAACCACACTATTTGCGTAGTTTTTTGTGGTTTTACACCAGGAAACCACGTAACTACCGATGGCTTTGAGCTATCGAGTGCTCAAAACCACGGTATTTACGAGGTAGCTGCTCAGCACTGCAGTGTTCTCTGGCGCTCTGTACTGCAGTGTTCTCTGGGGCTCCCCCACCATCCGCTGGGGTCGGCGGATATATATATATATATATTTATTTATCATAAATAACTATATATATACGATATATATATATATTACATAGTACAAATATAATAAGTACCATCCAGACTGCCACAGAGTCGGCCAACAGATGAACCAAATGGAGCCATCCCACCAAGAGTAGAGTTGCGAAATGGAACGCAATCACCTGCATTTGCTTGATTTTCTTCTGTCTCGTGTCAACAATCTCTTTCAATACAACGCGTTTGGCTCAAAAATTGCATGGTACTGAATACCAGGAAAGCTGTGATCTCTTTTGGAATGTGGAGACTGATGGATGGGTGCGTTTGTGTTTGTTCATGTGTGTTCCTTGGTTGGCTTGGTCGGTTTCTGAAGTTGTAAGGTTTTCTAGGAATGTTGACCCACATACCATGCATGTCCCATTCCATCCCACTGCTTTGCTGCAGACCTGAAATCACAGCGGGTCCTTGGAGGTTCGTTTCGTTCATCCCCCACCCCTCGACTGGAGGCATTCTGGAAACGATTCCTTATGTCCATCCATCATGTACGGATTTCCGGTATGGATGCATTCTTTTCAACCGAAAATCCGTCCTTCCCCCAAAGCCATGCCTGCCCTCCCCTTCCCTCGGCCAGGCCGCTCGCCGCTGGCTGTGAAGGAAAAAACAAGTTGCAGGTGTTGGCCGCGCCGTGACGACCTGGAACTTTCACCCGAAAAGAAAGTGTGAGTCACTGGTGGGATCTACTGTACATAATATGGATCCAAAGCTAGATGTCTTTATTGATCTTTCTTGTCAATCCTTTGGGATTGACCAGTGCTTGCTACTTTTTCTGGTTGGACGCGTCCCCGGCATTGTGATGCGCCCAAGTGCGGCCACAAGACTTGGGTTACTGAGAAGATCCCCCGAAGCCAAAGTCGATGACGGTGGCTTTGGACTCTAAACATCGGCTGAATGCCACAATCATCACCATGAAGCATCAGGAGCTGGCATGTCCATAGTCAAGAACCAAAGAAGACAGAGCTTCTTGGAAGATGTCCTGTCACACTTGATTGTTGTTCCGTCATTGGTTTGGTTCCCTTGTTCCTTTTGTGTAGCCTCGGGAATCGACAGGAACCACTTTTACAAAATGGCAGGCCCACCCTGTTTCTTGGGGGAAAATATGTTACTGTATACTATAAGCTGCTTTTTCGCAAGTTGTTACCACCACCTCAGAGTAGGGTCCCTTTTCCTTTCCCTTCTGTGTTTGCTGCGAACTGTGGGGTTTTGCTCCCTCCTTTGTGGTCACCTCCGATGCCCGGTCTGGCTCCATGTCCTCCAGGTTCGGAAAGGAGGATGTCGCACCACTGGAAGTTGTTGGACATGAAGATGGACTTTGCAGGAGAGAGAAATCGACTCAACAAAAAGCATTAGGTTGGAGGCCATCGCTACTGAGGTGGTGGCCATTACTAGTAACTATAGAAGTAACAAGAAGCTACTAGTAGCTAGAAGCTATTAGGTAGGAAGAACTGGAGTCCATCCAATAGGGGTGTGCGGTGGGTGTCCAATGGAGATCTCTCAGAAGTGTAGGGTTGTCATGGGTTGTCTACTGAATACCTGTTGGGTGGTCCTGGTATAGTTTACGACAAGGTCTTTTGGTGCACACAGGTTTATTTTTTGGTTGAGGCTGAGGCTGGTTTGCGTTTGCGTGTGAGGACAAGTGACAGGTCGACGCTTCAAGCGTTGGGCCCAACCAACAATCACCAGCAAACATCCCATTCTGAAACCTAAGACATGAAAAGTGTCAATTGGGTGTGTAATTGCTGAATTAGGAAGATCTCCCAAAGGCCTAGGAAAGAACATAGACCAGCATGACTCAGTCTACCCATTGGTGTTCAGGATGTTGAAGGTCTCCCTATCTAAATCACCAATGTTGTATGTAATGGGTCACTCACTCCCATTTTTTCGGCCCCTCCATTGAGACACCTTTGATTCGTGACGCGAACGGCGAAGCGCGGCTGACGCGAACGAGGTTCCGTTTCATGAACGGGCAGGGATGTTTGTTCAAGTTGAGAAGGTTGAGATTGATCCTTGAGAGGTACACGTTTAAAGAAGATTCACATGGAACCTGAAAACCATGGAAGACCAGTATGTGGAGCAGGCTACAGTCCATGTGAATCGCCTTTGAGGTGCCTCATCGAATCGAACCCGTCACCATTTCAGGCTAGACATGCCTAGACCATACACAGCACATCACAGCACTATACAGCTGTGAAGCATGAAAAAAATCAGCCAAACGGGTCTGACCGGGGCGCCCAGAGGCCAAACCGAACCACATCAGGAGACTCCGAACGAGCGCGCATCGGACACCTGAGCTCCTCCGGTCCGCGAGCGGCTCGTCCGAGTCGAGTCTGAGTCGCCGCCGTGCGACGTGCGAGCAGTTGAACCGGTGGCCGGGGGAGGAAGCATCAAGGCAAACATGTGGTAAGCACTCCCAACAATGACATACAATGACAACTTGTTCCTAAACATTTGGATACCTCCTGGCAACTGGTGCTGGGGATATTCAGCTCATGTGTTTTTCATCGCCTCAGTCTTTGGAACTTCCCAAATTCGAAGCATCAAAGGTTCCAACAGCAGTCATTGCTGAATTGCACCTCTCCGAAGCAGACGTAGATCCAAGTCCGGCGTGGTCCGTCGTTGCCAGGGTGGATGGTTGATGCATGTCAAAGCCAAGCCAAGACACCACACGAATCTGTTTGGCTCCGGCTCCTGTATTTTTCTGGCTGGTATGGTTCTTGTTTGGTACGAGCATCTTCCGTTTTCGACCGGAAGCATGAGACAAATTTTGGATCCCGCAAAACACCGCAGTTGCGCAGCAGGTTCCTCGCCCTGCCAAAGAGCGGGAGACCTACCAGTACTTACCAGCCCCCCGCAAATGGCCCGGGGCTGGGGCTCAGCTCTCGGTCCAAATCCGGGTTTTCACTCGGAACTCGGTCTTCGGCTGTTTGAAATTCCGGGCCTGTGCTGCTTGCTTTGGACGCCAGTTGGTTCTTGGTGCGGTCCGCGCTTCGGCTTCACCCAAACCAGCGGTCCGCGCGGCGGGACCTCGGCCGTCCACGTGTCGCTGGCGGACGACGTAAAGCCCCGTGAGATCAGAGCAGAAGAGCAGAAGAAATGAGATCAGAGCAGAAGAGCTTGTTGACGGCTTTGCGGTTTATTTTTGGCATGTGGACACATGTGATGATCCATGATGAACGCCTGTTGCATGGATTGTGGAACGACCCGGCGTTGAGGATGTTGAAGGGATTTGATGTGCCCTCGATGTGTTATTGTGTTCAAACGTGTTCATGTTCATTGAAATTGGGGACACTAGCTGACTAGCCATTGATTGAGTCAGTTGCACGTTTGTACCTGTTCTACTGGGGAAATATATCATCTAAAATCATCTAAAGCATGTGTTGGTTAAGGGATGTTAAGGGTGAAGACAATAAGATACAATGAGGATATCCATGTTTGAGGGAAGTCCATAAACGGCTTGAGGCCTCCTACAACCGTAGAATGAACCCAGATGCCCTGGTTGCCTGGTGATGCCCTTTCTCAGGGCATCCAGTTACCACTAGAGAGCCTTAGCTGGTAACCAATGGTTCTAAAGACTGAAACCATAGACCTATATATATATAAACCCTGGTTCCTTCGCGCTAATGGCAACTGGGGATCCACTGGGACCCTTGGTTTGGAAGACAGACTTCTCAAGAGTTTTTCATTCTCGGACGGACATCGACCATCTCGGTGAGTTTGACCCTCCATATACCCCGAAGACTGCTTGTCATCTCCATTTTTGTGCGGCCGATTTGTCATGTCTCTAGATGTCATGTCGTTTCATTTGCCACCACGGTTTGTTCGGGTTGAAATGGACACCCCTCTTCCTATGTATATATATATATATATTTCCATCCAATAACAACCCCCTTCCGGGGTGCTGGTGTTGAATCTTCTACACCACCACGTCACCACGTTCGTTTGACGCCCATGTTCGGCGTTCATGTTGGGCGTATAATTGGGAGAGCTTTGTGCAAGGGGCCGGTCTCAATGCCCGTTCCGTGGTGCGTGGGGCCCTTCTGCAGCCTTGTTCGTGGCTCGAAGCTGTTTGTTTTTGACACTTGGAGAGTGAGGAGCCCAGGGGCTGCTGTGTTTTGTGAAGACACCTGGACATACCTGGACCCCAGTTCCTAAAGAGAAAATGGGGCACGGCATGACTCATATGACTCTAAAATGTACTCTGAATCCATATTATATTTGTACCCATTCCAAGGTCGCCTTCCGATAGCGCTATCGTTCAGGACACCATTTTTTCGAAGCCTAGTTCGGCCAGTGGTCGGTCATGGGAGATCCAATCCTCCAAGTCCAGAGGGTGTGGGAACTGGCGGCTCAAAGCAGGGGGGTTTGGGGCGCATCTCAAGAGAAGCATGTCCACTGTTGAAGACAGATCAAGTTTCATCAAACAGAAAGTGGTTTTATATGTTTTTGTGATGTATAACGTCACATGACCATTTTGCGAGGAAACTGCTGCACAGGGACACTACAGACCACAAGTGCAAAAAATATGTGTTTGAAGGGCATAAATTCACGGAAGAGTGGCTTCCACCAGTGTCCATGTCGAACATATTGCGTTGTGAAAGACCGTTGTTTCGTGTTTTCAAGCCAGGACCCTCGATTTTCCGCGAGGAGGAGCATCGATCGCTGCAAGTGCTTGGACTGGAAATCGTTTGTCTATGCCATTGGTGAGAAGTTGAAAGAAATGGCCGCTCCTTGGATGCCAACGTGCCACTCGGGGTCGTCCTGCCATGTTGGTATGTCGAAGTGGAAGGACTGGAGTCTCCAACGACACATGGCTGGGTGGGACAAAATGATCAAGTTTGAAGGCCATCGACGTGCATCAGGCCCATGACTAGTATACACATGTATACACATATAAACAGCAATAATTCTATAACAATGTAGATGATCCCCAAATTCAAAAGTAAGGTTTCTACAATGATGAGCAATCAAAACACCTGCGGGAGAGTTTATGATGTCGGCCGTGCTAAATTCCAATCTCACTGGTGTTGTTCTACGCACTTCATAAACCAGTAGTAAGGCCAGGAGCCCCTGGTAGCGTCCTTGCTCCTAGTAGAGCCCCTGGTAGCGTCCTTCCAGTCTGGAAGTTTTTGCAGTCACTGAAAAAGGCCTCCACCTGATTGTCTATTGCCGTCTACTCCATGAAAAAACAATGGCATTGCCTGGAACGACCTTGCCATTGTGCATATGCGTTCTTCGGGTCGTTGTCACCCAGACGGTCGATCAATGAACATCAACATCGTGTTTGTCATTCAGACGAAAGACAAACAATGTCAAACAATGTTTGGAACGGATAACCTGAAGTTCAGGCTCATAGTCAACTACTGTCAACTATGTAAAACATATTTCGACCGTCCAGCGGACGACAAAACATGCGGGTGAAGATGGGTGAAGTCGCCCGCGTTGGTCGTGTTGGAGTGAACGCTCTATACACTCTATCCATGCTTTGCGTGGGGCTGGTGTTGTGTTCAGCGGAGTCTGCCCAGGATGCCACGTTGCGGACCGCTGGGAGCGCCGCGCTGACGCCCCGGGAGATCGGGCTCACGCTGCTGCCCGCCTGCGCAGATCGGGTGAGGAGGTGGTGTTGTGTTTGAGGCACACGAAATAGGCAGATTCCGATCTTTGAAGGTTTAGAAGAATGATCTTAAAAAACACACACGTGGGACGACCATAATTCTCAGTGTGTACAAAAATCCTTCGAGACAGGGCAACCAACAGAAATTGGAAGGTTTCCATTCTGCAAGGGAGGGTTCCCAAGCACCCAATTGGTGGAAGCTTTGAACCGACCGATGGTGACGGACGATGGGACGATGGGACGAGGCGCGTCGGACCTTGGCGTTGGGACGATGCGCCGTCCGTCCATCCCTCCATCCATCCTACCCGGAGTTCTTCTTGGAACACGACAAACCTCATGAGAGCTGGGTCCATCCTCTTAGACCCTTCGACCTTTGGCTTTAGAAGGGTGTTCTTAATACATCGATTAGTATAGGTCACATGTTAGGTTAAACCCGCGCAAGACCGAGCTGGACAGCCTAGTGTTTTGGTGAATCACACTTACGGCGACCGCTCCGAGGACCACCCCGCGACAGCCGTCAGGGCCGGCGCCCACGAAGGTGCCGACGGGAGGTAGCGGGGCAGCGGGACTTGAGGTTTTTGGTGTCGGAAGTCTCCACCCATGATGATCGCCCCTTTCAGCCCGCTTTTGTTCGGTCTCTCGCGCGCGTGTTCCAGTCCGCCGGTAGACCATTTCAGAAGTTTTAGTGTCTTGCCAGGCTGACGCCATGACCACGGTGAGAGTATCATGAAGCGCTAGAGACATCGGGAGACATCGGCAGACCCTTTGGATTGCGGGTGGTGTAAAGACATCGAAGGCTAGGTGTTTGACGATGTCCGGTGTCACATGCATCGGCAATCACCATCCCGGCAAGGGCTGTTGGTGAGCAGAAGATAACAGAAGTAGTTTGGGGATGTGAAAAGAGTCATGTGGGCTTGCAAGCTGAAGGCCAAAGATGTCCAAGACTAAAAAGATTCTAAGTGTACAGTGCAAATATATATATATAAGTTGCTATACAAGCACTTGTGTTAAGTCGTCTGGTCTTGTAGAAAGTCGTCTGGATGTTGCGTTTCCATTGGGGTTAGATGCAAGATGGCAATATAACTGGAAGAGCATTAGGTCAACAACATTGTTTGGATGCTGCGTTTCCATTGGGGTTAGATGCAAGATGTCACCCTCATTGGAAGATAAGCTTTGGAGCGTCAGTTCAACACCATTGTTTGGGTACATGGGGCGTGAGTACATGGGGCGTGGGTACATGGGTGCATGGGACTCGCGCGGCACTCGCGACAGGGTCGAAAAGACTCGCGTGGCACTCGCGCCAGCCTCACCATGTTTCCTTTAGTGATCTTTTCCACATGAAGGTCATCAATGCACAGCTCTTGAAGAGCAAAGCAAGCAGGGCAGCATGCTGCATCTATGTTTAGGGGGTAATCTTCACGATAGTCCTAACCTTGCGTTCTGATTGGGGTTCGGTCACCAAAACGCTGCAAACTTCGACATAAAACTAGTTCTTTCCTGCACAGGGGCAGTGAATTCTTGATGTATAGCAGTTTTGACAAACATACTTCCGTAGAGCGTTTACATTGTGTTTTAACATAAAACGGGTGACTTTTCGCGAGCCGGGTGACTTTTGACGAATGCTGCGTTTCGCGGCCGGGTGACTTTCTGCACACCCGGGTGACTAAACCCCAGCGCTAGTAGTAATAACAGTAGCTCAGTAGGCAAGGGAAGGGCCCTACATTCCAAGAAAGGCTTTCAGCAAGAAGTGGAGTGGCTCGTTGTGTATCAGGTGTCGAAGGTGCGGCCGAATGCCTTCCGTCAGACGGCTGCTTTGGGCTTTCTGGCCACCTGGCAGTGCAGGGAGATGGGATAAGGAAATCCAGAGCACTTTGGGTTTGTCTCAACATGTGGGGAATTCGGGGAATTCCGCCAACCACTCACGTGACATCACTTTTTTGTGTCAATTGATGGCAGAGGTGTTTCATTCTGGTCGGTGTTTCGCGTATGCCTCCCTTCGGAGACATTCCAATGTGCAACTTTCCCGCTTAAGATGGTGTTCTTCCCAATTCTCAGACAGACTACAGACTCACATATATAAGAGCACATAAGGCACCAATTTTGGGTGTGTTTCTAAACATACCTCCACACTCTCGACACTACTCAGAGTTGCTGTGTGTTTATTCCCCGCTTCGCAGGGTGGTTTTGGGATCATGTTGTAGACAAAGCCGTATGCCCCGGATCCCAGATTCGAACATGTAGCAGCTAAAGATAGAATAGCCCCGGCAGTCTTATAGATAGATGGCATCTGACCGAAACCGCCTAGCAGCCTAGCAAGTACAGAGTTCCATGTGAGCTTTTTCACCTGAAAAACGGCCCTGTCACCATCTCACAGTCCCTGTTGTCCTTCTAGGTGACTTCCACTGTCGCATAGCGTTCGATCATCCTTTTCCACACGTTTGTGCCAGCCACGTCCCAGCACAGACGCTGGCAGCCACGCAGGATGAGAAACTGCACCTTCAATCTGCCGCACCTTGGACTGCAAAGACTTCGGTACCGAGCTCGGAGGAACGGTCCCGGTCCGGGCGGACCGGTGCGGTTGGTGTCGGTACTGGTGTCGGTTTGGGGATTCGATCGGTGTAAGTGGTGGAAACTGCCATGTCAAAATCCTGCTGTGTAAGAAGACAACAGATTTTTCTCAAGGGGTGGTTCGTCTGAGGGCTCAGGATCCTCCATCGTCAGGGTCCGGCTTTGTGTTGAGCCAATGCTTTTGCTCCTGCCTGGTGCCAGGAAGAATTGGTGAAGCAATTTCAAGCTGAATATCCCCACTCACCAGTGAAATTTCATTGGTCTCCGAACTGAAATAGGTACAAACAAGGTGCGTGGAACCATGTTGAACCAACATGAACCTACTTTATCCATACCATCTTATATCCTCAATTGAATCTCTTGACTCTTAAATGTCAAAAGTCGCCCTAGGTCACCCAGGCATTTAGACTGACCCCCCGCCACATCGGACTCTTCGATCCTGTCCATCCATCCGTCCATCCACTCAGCACGCCGAGGAGGATCGGCCCTGCACCCGGGATTTGCTCTACCGCGGCGTCAGCGCCGACGGCCATGGCCGCAGCTGGGACAAGCGGTTCGGCGACCGGGCAACGTCGACTGCCGGGTCCATGCGCGTTGAGATTCACCAAATAGGTTGATGTGTCACAGACTGGGCAAACTCCAAGTGAACTGTGCAGAGCTGTTTGCATTTATGGTGGATGCCAAATGATGTAACTACGGAAAAAGGGCAAAGTGTGAGGTACGGAGCGAGGAACACATGGTACATAAACATAACTATAGCATAATTATCATGAATATATAACTTGTTATTAATGGGACTATATATGGTCCTTGGATGTCCGCCCTAAACCCTCAATCCCATACCATACCGCTCCGACCGATGGACCCGGTTGTCTGACCTCAACCCGGCCGACCCGACCCGTCGGCGGCAACGACGTGAGGCAAAGAGTACTTGCAAAGGCGCACCAGGCGGGAAGCATCGACCAATTCATGTTTTGACACGGGGCGGGTAGCTGCGAACTATAAAGAGGATGGGCAACTCCAAGGCCACAAGGCCAAGTATAGGAGTCAACAGTCAGAGGCTTTAAATCCTAGCCAATCCCGGGGTCAAAAGATATTGCTTCCCCTCTCCAGCCTCGTCACTTCGTCTCATGCTGCGGCAGTGTGGTTGCAACACCGAGCCTGATACATGTTGCGATGAATTTGAAGCAAGCTGCTGCCCTATGCCTTTCGGAGTCAAGCATGCTGCAGACCACTGGTGTAGTGTTTTGGAGAGATATTTATCCGACCTGCTTTTCTCACTTTTGTACATGTTTCACCCGGATGCGGCTTCTATTGACATGGAGGGTAACAACCTTTTGGTCAGTTCATCAGTCCAGCTTGCATTACTCTCTCACATGTTTCTTGTAACGTACAAATCTGTACCCGGGTCAAACCTGAAGGGCAGTGGGGAGCGACGGTTTGAATGCAAGTTCTTGGTGGTGAATATGTATTTGGTTCGATTGTTTGTTTCTCATGACTTGGTCGTGACATGTCCTGAGTATTGTTTTGTGTTTATTGATTTGCTTGTTCAGTCCTTTATTCTCCTTCACGAACCACCCTGTGCTGTTTGTTCTTTCCACGGCCTACTTGTTTGGGATATTCTCATTGATGTGTTGACATCCCCTGCCGATCCTATCTTTACTTTGTCCAAGAAGCTATGCTGGCTGGAAATGTGTGGTCCCTTAAACTTCCTGACTTCTAGTGTGTCTTTACTGTGGTTTGTTTGGCGCTCAATGTACTTGCGTGTTGTCAGACATGGCGCAGATGCTGTGCCAGTTTTGTCACCGCAAACTTGTTCATTCAGCTGCCGCTTGAGAACTTTGATGATTGGCAACTTCCAGTTCTATTTTACCCAGCCCGAATCACCTCAAAATGCACCGTTTTCGTCCCTGAGGGTGTAGCAGTTATGTATCCTCCACTCCTTTGGTCTAGTAACTGCTGCTCAAAGGACAAGCATAGGGCTTTAGCTTCCAGACCACATGGCACTCGTATCGCAGAGACTTATTTTCCAACTGCTGCGCGGTAACAGTTGGTGTTATAGATTGTAGACATGTTTGGAGCAGACAAACACATGCTTTTCATTGCAAATGTTGTTCCAGACCTTTCCTTTCAAGTTTCACAAATTGTCTCAAAAATGAAGATGTCACGCCAAGTATATCTCCGGATTCCGGTCCTGTTCCGCGTGTTCACCGTTGGACGTGGGGGACCATGTACCACGGTGTTGACCGGTACTTGCACGGTGTTCACCGTTGCAGGTATGAGATTCATGACCGCTATGACAAGCCTCAGACGGAGGCGCAGTTGATGAGCTTGAGCGACTTGGGTCCCCAACGGGACGACCCGTTGACCGGACGGGACGACGGAGTCGATGGAACGTTTTAGGTCCAAATGGTCCAATTTTGTCGCATCTCTTTCATGACCGGCGACATGGCTTTGAGAGTTGGTCCTCCTTGGGCCCTGGGCCGCGCCAAGCTGCGCCGTCTCTCAGGTTTGCGGATGAACCCTTCGGCTTTGCGGCCGCCATCCTTCGGGAAGAAGCCCATCGTCGCGAACACGCCGCTGTGCGAAGCATGGAGAGAAGCCCGGGTAAAAGCGCTAGTGGGTAGGAGCAAAACACACCAAGTGATTCGCATTTATTGGTTGTTTTTTTCTTGGGCTGGGTTTGGTGTGATCGGTCGTTTCGATGTGTCGGTGCAGACAGCTTGGTCGATGGCCGATCGGACGGTTTCTGCCGACTGTCTCTGTATTTGGGCGGGCGCTCGACATGAACCGAACTCTGCTCGGGCACTGCTGAGGTTCTACCGGACGCGGGGTGCTGGGAGCTTTCAAGAAGCCACTGCAGACATCTGAGCCACGTGGCACGCGCAGATCTTCCGCGCGTGGCACGGGCAGGCTCCTGGCGCCTCGCGTGGCCTCACATGGTGCCGTTGTTGGAGGGGTCGGGAGGCGAAGCTGAGCAGAGATTCAATGCGGATTTGGATGAATAGCAACCTCAAAATGGATTCTATTCCAAAATGTGTCAAGGCAATCATCTGCGGAGTTGACTGGTCGTAGTACCCTTTTTTCGACCACATGTAGTTGTAACTCTGTCACAACCATCCCAAAAACAGCTATTTTTGGGGTTTTGAACGGTACGAAGCGGCAAGCCGCGCTACGAGGAGTTTGACAAATGTGGGGCGCTACGAATCATCCACCGGTGGGAAAATGCGGGAATGATACAATCCTCCCACGGTGTGGAAATTTCATCCAAGTATGGCCAGCACAAAACACCGATGACACAAGGATGCTATACCAAAGATGCACATGACTTCGGACCGGACCCCCGTTGCCGCAGAATCACAGGGGTAAGACCTTGGTCTTAACAGATCAGGGGATTGGAAGCCTGCGATGATGTGGACCACTAGCCTTCGGCTGCTTGGCCGATTTATATAGCAATCCAACATTTGCAGTTGTTGCCAGCGGTCAAACTGTGGGTGCCACTGCACTAGTTCGTTGGTCGCAGTCCTGCAAGCCTTTACCAAAGGTAAATGGTGAACCAGGACATTCTGATTCGATTATTGTCGTTCCTTTTGAACAAATAATATATTACAATATGACATAATATGACTATATATATATATATTTAGGATAAGGGACTGGGTTTAGGGTTGCAGAAATCAGGGTTCTGAAGATCAATGTAGATTAATCTTCTTATATAGTTGATGCAGGGCAAGGTAAACAAAAACTTCAGTAAGCCAGCTTGCATGCGCTCTTCAATCTAGCAACATAATATGATATGACATGATTAAAAATAGAGCGGGTAGTCACGGGGGTGGGGTTGTAAAAAAGATGATTCTGGAAGATTTTGTATTTTTTA